GTAAAGAGTTTTAGGTGTGAAGATGAGAAAGTTCCGGAGACGAACGGTGGTGATGGCAGCACAACAATGAGGATGTACTTAATGCCACTGAACCATATACCTAAAAATGGTTAAAATAGTAAATTCTGTGTTATGTATAGTTTTTCAACATAAAAAATTGAGGAGGAAACAAGACCACCTCCCAATAAAGAAACCTGGTGGCCTGAAGAGGCCCTGGACTCGGGCTCCCACCTGCAGTGTTTGACAAACTCGATGTTTGTGCAGCGGACTTTGCCCAAACTCTCTTCCAAGTACTGCCGGAAGCTGCGCAGGGACACCTGGGTGACATCGATGTAGCTAAGCAGCTCATGGTGCAGCGCGCTGGTGAGAATGACCAGCCTGTGGGACACAGAGGAGGAACAGGACAGTGATGGTGACCACCATGGGGGCATGGGAGAGGCAGTGGGTGATGGTGGCCAGCTGGGGGACATGGAAAGAGTAGGTGATGATGGTGACCAGCCTGGCTGGGGACATGGGAGGGGCAGGAGGTGATAGTAGTTGGCCTGGGGACATGGAGGGGCATGTGGTGATTATGTCAAGCCTAGGGACATGAGAGGGCATGTGGTGATGGTGGTAACCATCCTGGGGACATGAGAGGACAGGTTGTGATGGTGATCAGACCGGGGGCACAGAAGAGGCAGGTTGCTGGCAAGTGACCAGCCTGGAGAGCTTATGAGGGTGAATGATGACCCGGGCCCAGGATGATATCCTGAGAAGCTATTTGAGCTCCACAAGCCATACCCAGTGGCTGCCAGAAACACTACCCAGCTTTTTATGTAGCCAAGGGGGTAGGATAAGAAAGTTCAAAGTTCCAGTATGTGCCGGACACACTGTGTCACGCTGGGTGTGCTGGTCAGAGGGTGTCCCTCTCTTCTCTTGGACCCCTGTTACCAAATTGCTAAATACAATCCCAGGCCCTACTTGATCTTCATCCTCCTTCCAGCAGGCTGTATCTGACCCAAGCAATGTGGCTCCTGCCCCTCATAGTCTCTCAAAAGACTGCCTGAAAGTTTCCTCTTTCCAACCAAGCCCACTGCAACCAGCTGCCTCCCGTGTGCCTGGTGGCTGTGCAGACACCTGCCAGCTCCCTCCCTGTGGCCATCTGGGGCCTCCATCTCATGTCCCTGAATGGCCTCTCTGTAGCCCCTTGCCCTGCCCTGAGCATTCCCTAATCCTGGGCTTGGATAGAGCTCCATCCCTGATTAGGGAACTTGGCTAAAAAGCCACCTGCTACAGGAAGCTTGTCCTGATTTCCCTGAGAGGAAGTTGTCTTTACCACCATTGATATTCAGGGCACTTGGCTGTCCCCTTGCACAGGACTATGCACAAGTTCCCTTGGCTCTCTCTGGCTGCTCATTCTCACCCTCCCACCCAGATGTTTCACAGAGTTTAACTCTGACTCTCCTGAAGAGGTTAATTCAAAACAGGGCTCCTGTCCCTCTCTGTTCCTTTGCATACAGGGAGGAATGGCCCCTTTGAAAGTAGAGTGTGAGGGTGGGATGGAGACTCCAGGGCCCCTTACTTCTGGCTCTTGGTGGCATTCAAGAAGTTGTACTCCATGTCGTAAATCTTGCGGCGGAAGTTTTTGCTCCTTGTGTTTTGCTCTTCTTGGAACTGGCCGAACATCAGCCTCTCCTTCTTCAGGGTCTCAATCACGCCGCCACAGTGGCTGTCCAACCGCTCTTGATGAAGCAAGAGCTCAGCTGGAAAACAGTGAGGTAGTCTGGGACCCCATTCACATCAGCACCTTCCCTTCCTGAAACCGTGCCTGGCCACAGCCCCTCGTTAGCCAGAGCCAGCTGCAGAGCAGGGACAGCTCAAGAGAGGGTCCCTTGTCCTGTGCCTGCTTCCCTCACCAGGGCTTGAGCTAGGGATGGGCTCTGACCCCAGAGAAGCCAGTCTGGGCCAGGCTGTCTCGCTGCTAGTGAAGACACCCTGCCTGAAGCTGAGAGAACAAAGGCAGGGAGGGGGAGAGTCTGGGGAGCAGCCTGGCAGCGGGTAGGATGGGTGGGGGTGCTGGGGAGGGCTGAGATTTGGTTGAGAGGATTGGATGACAACAGCAAGCATGACTCCAAGCAGTCTGGCTTTGCCCCTTGGCATCAGTAGATACTTAGCTTCAGTGAGCCTGGACTCCAGCTGGCCTCCAGGGTGGAGCAGAAGGAACAAGGACTGGGTTGCCAGAGCCCTGTCACAAGCCTTTACTGCAAGCAGAGAGCCCTGCCCCTGCCCATTTGGCCTCTCTGTTGTTTAAAGTGGTGTGAGTGCTGTAGTCCCAGCTCTGCCAAAAATGAATGGTGTGACATGGGAACTTCATTTCTCTGGTCTCAGTTTCTATGCTGTATGTTGGGCCACGGAGCCTGGGAAGAAGGCATGTATGATCTTTTTTATTTCTCCCAGTGCATTTAGTGCACACATTTTCCAGATAAGGATAGTGAGGTTCCATTTGCCAGGCAAGTTGCCAAGGCAGCAAGCAATGGGACTCAAGGCCAGTCATCTGCTTGCACACCTCTCTCTGCTCCAGGCAGCAGGAGTTTGCATTGATTCCTGCAGGGTGCACTCTGCTAGCTCTGCAGGGCTAGGATGCAGCGTGGAGTGTGATTTGAGTGGAGACTCGACAGGGATTATTGAAGGATCCTACTAAAATAGGTGCCCCCTCCCACCATCAGTAGAGCCCACCACCTAAGAGAGAAAGAAATGTCTGTCTTTTGAAGTATAAGAAGTATAAGTGAGTAGGCGGAGATAATGGCTACCACTTTAGGAAGCTGTAACTTGTGCCAGGTGCTCATGCCATTTCAGGAGTTTTCATTACTACTACCATCTGCAGGTGAGGAAGGGGTCAGAGAAGTCAGATAACCCGCCCAGAGACACACAGGTAGAGGGCTCAGATCCCAGTGCTATAGGCTTGCCTCTATAGCATCCACCTTGCAGGTGTGTATCTGATAGGGATGTGAACAGATCTGGGATCCAAGAGCTAAACCAGCACAAGACTCTTCATTTCTGAATCCAACACCCTCTTTCAAATAAAAAAAGAAAAGAAATGCAAACAAAGTCTCAAATGAAGATTCAGAGGACTACCTTTCTCTGCAAGCCTGGGAGGTGTGAGCCCTCATGCACCCCCTGCATGGTGTGATGAGGACAGGCTAAATGCTGCAAGGCAGGGCAGCTGGTGAGCACACAGCCACGGTGGAACAGAGGCTGAGGAGGGGTCTGCGGGAGGGTCGGTCTTTCCTAGCAGGGTCTGTACCTGCCCTGACATTGTGGATGTCCCTTTCAATGTTCTGGGCTCTTGGATGGTGCAGGTGCAGACGCAGCTCCAGTTCTGAATCCAGCTCATCAATTTTCGTGGCCACGACGAGCTGGGTATTGAGGGAACATTGGTCAAACCACTTCTCCAGGTGTTCAAAAAAGCCAGCTCGAAGTCTGAGAGAGAGACCAGCCAGGGTCAGCCCTGCCAGCGATCATGTCCTATGAGAGGTCTTTCAATATCGAGACATTTTCACTCCTTCTTCCCCATTTGATTTCCCAACTGCAATGTATTTCATTGTGTGGATGTACCATACCACTGCTAAGGACACTGGAGATAAGGCCAACCTTCTGCTCTTACAAAGAAGGCAGCAATGAAGAACCTTGCCCATATTTATCTATTTCTGTTGGATAAATGCCTCTGAACTGGAATTGCTGAATCAAAGGTTAAAATTCATTTGTGGTTTGGGCAAATATGGCCACACTGTTTCCATTGGAAGGCAGCTTATACCCTCATCAGCAATGAAGAACGGTTCTTGTTTTGCCACAGTCTCAGAGTGTGTTATCAAACTTTTGAATTTGACAGTTTTGTCACAGTATGACTGAGAATGAGCGTATTTGCAGGTGTTAAGACTATTTAATTTCTTTTTCTGTGTACTGTCCATTAATGTCTCTTGGTCAGTTCTTTATTGTGTATAGCTGCTCTTTTAAAAATTAGTTTCTTGGAACTCTTAATATATTTTGGATATGAAGCTCACTGACTTTGATTTGAGTTGCAAATATGGATCCCCAGATTATCATTTCTTCTCTTTTAAAGGTTATAGAGCTTTTCTGGCCATGTATTGTTAAGATGTCACTCCTCCCAGAATTAATCTATAGATTCAATAAAATAACAAGAGTAAAACCCCAACAGATGTATTCTTATGGAAACTCAATGAGCTGATTCAAAATTTGTGTGGAAATACAGTAATAGTGAAGGCAATCCTGAAGAAGATCGAAGTTGGAGGAGTTACATGACCAGATATTAAGACTTAGAATAAAGCTATTGTAATTAATAAGTGTAAGGTAATTGTGCTAGGAGAGACACACAGAGGAATAGAAAAGATGGCTGAGAAGTGAGGGCAGAGAGGGTCTTCTTGGTAGTGCCCAAGGTCAATTTGTTCTCCATATGGGAAAGAAAGGAATCTTGACTCTTATTCACACCATAAACAAAAATGATTCCAGGTATATTTTAGATGTTAATATGGAAGTTTGGAAAAAGAACAGTTCTAGTATATAATGGAGACTATTTTCATGACCTTGAGCAGGCAAAAAATTCTCAGAACACAAAGTAAACTAGCCCTCCCGTGTGCATTTCCCGTAATGAAAAAACTGACAAATAGAACCTTATTAAAAATAAAAACTTCTATTCGTTAAAGGATATTTTGTGTAAAATCATCCAACACAGAGAGATGAACATTTGCCATATATTTATCAGACAAAAGCCTCATATGGGATATGTAACTAACCCTCATAAATTAATAAGAAGAAAGACGATCCACCAGAAAAAAAAAGCCAAAAGATTTCACTAAGCACTTCACAAAAAGATACACAAATTGCCAGCAGGCAGATGAAAATTCATCCTATTCATTGTTATTCATTGTTATTCTTGTTAGTCCTGAATTGCCAGCAGGCCTATGAAAATTCATCATATTCATTGTTATTCATTGTTAGTTCTGAATTCATTGTTATTCATCAGGAAAATGTGAATTAAAAACACAATGAGGCATGACTATGATTACACCGGAATGGGCCACTGATGATACCAACTAATGTTGAGATTGTGGAGCAACTGGAACTCTCGTACACTGTTGTAAACTGTATAACTCTTAAAACCACTTTTGGAAACTCTTTGGTAGTATCTTTTAGCTATGTTTCCTACAGATAGACATGAACACACTCATGATTCAACAATTCCGCTCTCAGTTATATATATAAGAGAAATGTATACGTATGTTCACCAGAGGACTCGTGCAACATTCAGAACAGCATTATTGTTATATCCCCAAATTGGAAGAGACCCAAATGTGCATCACTAGAATGGATAAATAAAATGGATCGTATTTTTTTAATCATAAGATACTATGCAGAAATAAAAAGTGACCTCTAGCCATATTAAGGAATATACAGGGTAGCCATGAAGTTTGTGCACAATTTTAAATAGTTTAATAGGAAAGAAGCTTATTATTTTAAATTGCACGTGAACTTTATGGGCACCATGTGTATGTCTTACAAATATAATGAAAGAGTGAGTTCTGTATGATTTCATTTAAATAAAGTTCAAAAATAAGTGAAATGAACTTAGAAGTCATATTTGTTATCCCTGGGGAAGAGAGACTGATGATGTGGGATGGGTACATAAGGTGGGTTCCTAGAGGATTAGTAGTGGTTTTATTTCATATGGGAAATATAATAAACAAATAGAATTAACGGATAATTTATTGAGATTTTAATACTTTATGAAAGCTTGTTATCCTTCAATATTCAAATCCAATCAGTTGGACAGAAATTTTCCTTCTGGTGATTCACAAGGTTAGATGACAAAGCACAGAGGTTGGTGCAAGATTCTGGAATTATGGCGTCTACATCAGTGTCTTTCAACCTTCTTTATCTCACAGCACACTTGAACCTATAGTTAAACTTTTAGTTGACCAACTAAAAGAGCAAAAAAATATATACGTACTTTGCTTTGAACTTCTTTTGAAAATGTAATTAATGATCTTTAAAAATTTTTTTGCAGCACACCTAAGATCCTCTCACAATATAACCACTGTGCTGTGGCACACAGGTTGAAAATCACTGGTCTAGAGTCTTATCTTGGATCTAACTGCTACCTATCTTGGAAATCTTGGCTAAATGACTAACTCTCTGAGCTTCAGTTTCTTCATCTATAATGTGAAGTTAATTATAGCACCTCTCACAGTTATTGAAGGGATTAAATACTCTCAATAAATAAGAGCTCAGCTCTTGTGGTGGTTCTTGTTGGTCTTTGTCTTATGGGCTGTGGGGAGGACAGATGAGGAAGAAGTATGTTGTCTTAGGTGAGGTTATGCCAAGGAGCAGGGCAAAGAGCTCAGCGGCCTGTGCTTCTTCCACTTCCTGTCTTTGGCATCCTGCCCATGTGTGAACATGGGAAGTGGACTAGCCAGGTGATATGTAGCTAATTAGTCCTACTTATGACTTTGTAGAGGCAGGAGAGCAATGGAAATGCCATTCAAAAGCCAACTGCAAACATTCATGTTTGGTCCAAACTCTAACACAAAAGCCCAGAAACTTGGGAGTTAGGGGAGGTTAATTTTCAATGTTAGGATTATGGGTCATTTTTCTATTCTTCATTACTATTTTGTATTTTCTGGAATAAATGTGTCACATAGTACATGGTGTGAAATATCATACATGATATATTCATGCCTCTGGTCTATACCTATAGAATTTTTTTTTAAAAAGAAAAGAAACCACTAAGATTTCATGTGTTAGGAACTAGAACCCAGAAGCCTCTGGCAGGGAAAACAGTGTTCATTATGTATGAGGCCCAAGCCAATAGAGCACCCAGGAAGGGGCACAGGGGGTCACACCCATGGAAGATATTTTTGACTGCAAATAATTCCTGGACATTTGCTATTTTTTATTGCATTTCTCATCCCTACCCTCCCTCGGTCACCTATTTAATATATTTTTTTCCTTTTTTCCAGCTAAAACTAGTTCCATCTTTTCTTACAAAATTTCACCTTGTTCATAAAACTCAGAATGACAGAATGAGAATAAACTAGTTTTCTACTCACTGTTTCTTAATTTCTAAAACTAGTTTGGATGGAATTATTGCTTGTTCTATGAAGTTGGCATTGGAAGTGTCTTCGATGAGCAGGACTGAGAAGCTGCCGTGGGGCTTCCTGCTAAGCTCTTCTTTTTCCAGGGACATGAAGACAAAATACATGTTTCCACTAGAGGTTTGGAAGAACTCCATGTCCTCATAGTATATCTCCTCCACAGTCTCTTCATTGTCTTCATCCTAAGCAGGTAATAAGACTTTAAACTTGACATCACTAAATGGACTTGGGGATGTCAACTACACATTCCTTGATGTCAGAGGTTATAAACGCATGGGTCAAATTTTGCCTATATATGGGCAAATATATATATATATATAATATATATAATTATACATATAATTGCCTATATATCCTATATATGGGCAAATATATATATATATAATATATATAATTATACATATAATTGCCTATATATGGGCAATATATATAATATATGTATTATATTATATATATAATTATATATAATTGCCTATATATGGGCAAAATATAATATATATATAGTGCTTTTAAAATTAGGAAGTTCTACATAAAAATCTGAGTTTCTGATTTCTCTCAAAATATCGGAAAGTATGATGATTTTGAGTCTTCGTTCCCATGTGGTACCTCTGGCCGGGGCTGAGTAATGACAATACAGTTTTCAATTACGTCATGATTTTACACTTGGTCTCCAGCCCTCTTTTCTATTATATACCTGTGGGCATTTGATTTTGAGATTCCTGCTTAAAAAGAAGTCTCATTTGCCAACTCTTCCACAGCAATGTAAGAAATGAGTCATTCGCACATATGTAATTATGGAATTCATTTTTTGGTGAATAAATTTGAATGCGTTTTGAGGATATATTAACATGAGAGTCACTTCCCTGCACTCAAAGGGAAGCTTAGATCTGGGTCTTTTGAAAATAGGAAGAGATAAGAAATAAATAGGCTTAGATGAAGCAGGCGAGGCTAAGTTGATCTATTCAATAAAGGGGAGCTAAGAAAGAGAAAGAACAAGGGAAAGATGAGGAAAGCCACAGAGTGGTGAGGGGTGACACCAGAGTAGGCTACAGCATCATGAGGAAGGGAAGGTGGATTTTAAAATCCTAATCCAAAGCTAGCGCTTTGGGAGGTCAAGGCTTGAGCCTGGGAGTTTAAAGCTGCAATGAGCTATGATGATGATAATGCCACTGCACTCTAGCCTGGGCAGCAGAGAGAGACCCTATCTCAAAAATAAATAAATAAATAAAAGCATTGCTGTGAACAAAGAATTGGATCCCTGTGTGCAAAAATAAAAAGTATGAATACTTTTGTAATTCGTTACATATACCTCTAAGGCAGGGGTCCTTAAACTTTTTAAACAGGGGGCCAGTTCACTGTCCCTCAGACTGTTGGAGGGCTGGACTGCGGGCCCCGGGACGAGTCAGATGCTAAGCAGGACAGGCAGCTGCAGCAAAAACACCCTGTGGGCCGGATAAATGTCCTAGGCAGCCCACATGTGGCCCACGGCCGTAGTTTGAGGTCACCTGCTGAGTCTAAGGAGACTGGTCCATTGGGAACTCGAGCTTATATTAGGAATACACATAGAATGAACATAGCAAACTTTCCCCACCCACTGATAAACTCTCTTGTTCCTCTCTTACCTCCTCCTCCTTCTGCTGATTCTCCTCCTCTTCCTCATCTCCCTCATCTTTCTCCTCTTCCTCTTCCTCCTCTTCCTCTTCCTCCTCTTCCTCCCTCTCTTCTTCTTCCCCCTTCTCCTCTTCATCTTTTTCCTCTTCTTCCTCTTCCTCTGCCTCCTCCTCCTCCTCCTTCTCTACTTGAAACATCACATTTTTCTGGTTCAGAGATGATTTCAAGGAGCTCTCTTTTTCCACCTGCATTTCATCTGATCCTTGAATAGAGCTCTCTTTGGACTCATCCATTTCATCACTCAGTGCAGACTTTTCCTGCTGGCTCAGGACCTCTTTAGTTATGGAGGACTCTGATTCTTGATCTTTTTCTTCTGTCTTTTCTTCTGTCTCTTTGCTTATGCTTTCCTCGCTTTTGCTTACTTCCACTTTAACCTTTGGCACTTTCTTTGTTCTTCTAATTGTCTTCTGGAATTTCTTTTCATGTATTTCTGTTGATAACCAACACCAAAGTACAGGAAGAGATGATTTACCAACATTGCCTGAATTGGGCCTCCCCAACCCACAAATATTATGTACAGAACAGTGAAGTCAGGGAGAATCATACTTGAATTGTGAAAGTGTTACCTGGTTCCCTGAATTTTAAAATGACTTCTCCAGACAAGTTCTGCAAGGAAAAACCATGAGTCATTGAGGGACCACCACTGCCTTTATAGACGGCCACTTCTTTTTACTTTCTTTCTTTTTTATTGTTGGGGAATCATTTAGGACACAAAGAACCAGGTTACATTGCTTGCATTTGTTAGGTAAAGTCCCTCTTTTAATTGTATCCTGCCCCCAAGAATTGTGTCACACATGGTGACCCTCCCACCCCCTCACAGAGCACCACTTTAAAAGAGAAAAGCATCTCTTTTCTTTTCAGTAAAAGGACCTCCCCTTAATATCTGATGCAAGCCTTGGCTAACTTAGTTCATTGCAGTAATGAAGTGGTTTCCACACCAGGAAACTAGTTTTCCTTAATTCCATGCTGCTAGGAAACCATTACAGCACGCATGGGAAGTAATGGAATAAAAGCTTATTCTGACACATTCTTGGTAGTGATCTGGAGCAAAGGGGGGAAAAATAGATAAATTGAGGGATGCAAACAAGGGGCGGGAATCTGCTGCATTTGTGCTGGATAGGAACAGACAGAAAGAGGACTCTCACGATCCTGGGAACCCCCTTGATAACTCCACAAATTCCTTGTTTGCGTAACAGTGTTATGGGTAACAGTGAAGGCTGTGGGGTTTGCAGGTCTGGATTTGAATACCAGCTTCTTACAAGCTGAGTAATCTTGGGCAAGTCCTTTAATCTGTATGGGGCTCAGTGCCACCCCCATTAGTTCCAATGAAATAGAGATTATAACAGTATTCACACTTTTAACCCAGGTGACCAAAGTGATCTCAGAGGGTGGACAATGAGCTCATCTTCCAATAGCCTAAGCGTCTACCTCAACCCTGGTGTCAGAGGGAGCATTTATTTATAATCTAAGCAGGAATCCCTTCAGAGGGCAGAGATTCTCTGGGAAAGAGCCAGGCATCCCGGATAGGACTCTGGCTATATATGAGGGAAAAGAGCCAGACTCTAGGGGATTCAAACCAGGACACTCCAAGTATTCTTGCATTTACCCAGAGAGCCATTTGTTGTGTCTGCATTATATGCAAGAACCTGCACTAAGGGGGGGCCAAAGTTGAACAAAAATCAATAAGGCACACTGGCCCTTCAGGAAACACATTCTAGCTGGGTGCTCTCAACTGTATTTGACAACTGAGTACCAAAACCTACTTAGAGACCAGAGAGGTGGCAGGGGATGAGGAAGGTGAGCTGAGAGGTGAGACTGAGTAAGCAGGCTCCTGTCCTGGTAGTGGACCAGAAGGATAGGTGGGGTTGAGACAGAGGGGTCCCAGCAGAGACAGCAGGATGAGGAAAGCTAGCTGGCAGAGGGGGTATATGCAGGAAGAGGGGTGATTTTTCTGGACCAGGGAGAGTGAAGGTGGGAAGCAGTGTAGAGCCTCATGTTGGGACTGTGAATTTGCTTTGGTGGGGCACTTTTGAGCAGGAGAGTAAGTGGCTCAGGGCTATATTTTAGGAGAATTAGGTGATGGTGGTGGGTACGATAAATGGAACTCCAACTGTCAAATAAATTAGCCTTTTCATTGCAAATTCATCTATCCCTGAGCCCGGAATTCTGAACTTTCTCCCAACTGAGAAAGAGATGGTCTTTTTAGAGTCACTTTCAGCTTCTCTCTCCATGATGTCCTGACATTGATTTCAATTCTACAGGATTAGGATTGGCTTTCAAGACTAGGCAGATCAGAATGAGAAGTCAGCTTCTCCCTGTGCTTCTCTGTGAGTGGCTGGATATATCATACTCCTCTCCATACCTGTTCAAAGATTTCACGCACGAAGAAGTGTTGGCTGAGGGTGCAGCTGTAGGAGTTGAGTTCTTTCAGTATGATCACTGGGTACTCCATTACTTCCTTCGACAGGAGCACATGAAAACATTTATACCTGGGAGGCAAGGAGGTGAGACCACTGTCTCAGGGAGGCTCAGCTGACAGAAGGAGACCCCAGGCAGAAGCCACAACCCTGACCCCAAAGAGGTGGCTGGAATCTGGCCCTTAGCTTGCCCGTGTGGGCAGCTATTTTTCTCATCATACAAGGAAAATGTGCTTTTAGCAGAATATTTGAAAAACACACATGAGAGTTTTCTATATGTTGTAAAGTGAGCTTCCTTTTCCTGTCCACTGTCCTAACTCTGTCCTTGAATTTTACAGTTATCTATGTTCTCCCATCAAACCTCTGAATATGCCAAGGCCCAGGCTTTTGTCTGTTTCTCAGATTAGGAGACCAAGGCTTAGAGGGGTTACTTTCTTGCTGAAAGCTATATTTCTGAATCTAAGTTTTACAGTCAATTGGTGATAAAATTCCATTTCTGTGAGTCCTTATGGAGTTGGTTGCACAAAGGCACAAAGACACAGGAAAGTTCACAGAGAACCGTTTGTCATATTGAAAATTGGAGCCGATCAAAAGCAGGGGATCAATTGAGGGATGTTAAATCATCAGGAAGTATCTGTAGTAAGGAATGCTACATGATCATTTAAAAATTGAAATATAGGGAGGTTTGATAGAGGGAGGGTAAATGGGGGGACCACGCCTATGGAGAATATTGCAAGGGTACAAGTCAAATCTATCAAGAATAGAACATAAATGTCTTAACACAATAATTAAGTAAATGAGGTGAAAGCTATGTTGATTAGTGTGAAGTAAGCACTCCAAATTGTATAAAAAATCAACACATTGTACCCCACAAATGCATAAATGTATTCATGATCTATGTGTATATGACTTAATAAAAGGAAAAATATTGAAATATATCTGCACTTATAGGACAATTTGCATAGTGTAACCCAATCTTTGTTATTAAAACACTGTATGTGTATATATTCATGTATATACATGTGTCTGTCCATAGAAAGGAGTAATTGGGCAGGAACGAGGAAGAAAATCTCTATGTTTGCAGTGGTTGAATTTGAGGTCCCATGTTCTTGTTTATTTGTTTTTATTTATCAGGCCCAGGCAAGGCTCAAACTCACTGCCCCTGACATGCAGGACTGGCCTGCTAACCACTGAGAAGAAAAGCCAGCTGGGCCCCATGTTCTTGACTCTTAAATTACATTGCCTTGAAAACCTCCCTCCATGAACTTTTCACACTTCTCCTGGAAGCTTCATTGTTGGCAGATAGTAAAGCTGAAGTGGACCACAATGTTTGCAAAGTCAGAGGCACGTTTTCCATATTCAGATTGATGGGCAGGCCCCTGGACTCCCATGCAGTCTGCTCATAATCTCGCAGATGAGTTCCTGACTATCCCCTCTTGTCTTCTGGGGTCTGGTCAGCCTACCTGGATTTCATGGTCTGCAGAAAATCTTTGGCCTTTTCCAGGTGAAATGCCAGTGTTTCTTCACGGCTCTGCTGCCTCAGTTGGTCTACGATCTTATCAAGGTGGGACTCCAGAGCCTGGAGGCAACCCCAAAACAAGAGGAAGTAGAATGAGCAACAGAGTGAGTGACTTTCGGGGACCTTGCCACTGGAACTGAGGCCTGGGCACCTGGGTAGGTTGGGATGCTCTTTATACAAGTGGCGCGTGAAATCTGCCACCACTCTCACTCTCTCTACTTTAGGCCTCTGGATGTTTCTCTGTGACTAGGATTCCCTGCCCACTGTACACCCCAGGGCCCAGCTCAGATGGGGACATGTCCCTCACACCCCGGACTCTGCTCAGGCCAGTGCCATATCTTCCCGTGGTACCTCACTCTCTTCTCAACAGTTGTACTCAAAGTCAGATGCTGAATTGATGCCCCTCATTCCCAGAGTATGTGAGGACAGGTCAGTGGGCACAGTTGACCCTCTGGCACAGGGTGACTGCCAGACACAGACATCAACGCCCTCACACTCTATAGAGCTGTGAAATGATTCCAGATGCTTACGCAGTCGGCTATGTGAATGACATATATGTTGCTGTAAGAAGATCTGGGAGCATGTTCCCCCTTCCCTCCGAGAATGTAACATTTTATCATATGAAGTTACCTCAAGTACTGGACATACTTCAAAGTACACACAAACTCAGGAGTTTGACGGACCCTGTGGGAGCTTAGGCCAGATAGTTTTCATACTATCAGCAGCTTCTCTGATAGAGAGAGCTCAGGCTGCAATAGGCCTTGGGCTATGAAGTGTCCCTGTCAGCCCCAGCATCACCCTCAGGCTTCCAGGGACTGGGTATCATCACAGATCTCTGCTGTGTTGGCCTTCAAGCCACCCTCATCCTGACGGACTAACCAGACTTTAACAACCATGGAACTCACTCACCATGTGGTTAAGGGACCTTGTCCACCCCTGTGAGTCTGTCTGTCCCTGTGGGGTTTGTTCATGTTATTCTCCCCCTCTTTAAGAAGTGTCAACTTAAGAAAAAAAATTCTCTTTGTACGGCAGTAAGCCACATGATTCACGATATCATCCTTTGGTCATCTCCTTACTTTATCTGTCTGTCTGTTCTTATCTCTCTCATGTACTCTCTTACAGCACATTTGGTTCCAGAGACTGCACATGGCTGGGACCTAACTCAAGGAGAGTTCTGCTACTCCCATCTGACCCATGACCAAGGTCAGCCAAGTTTTATAGCTAAAGAGTCCATATGTAGGTCTAGGATCTGTTTGCGTTCACTTCTGTTTGTGGTGGGGGCCACACCTGGTTCTCCTGGTTGTACTTCTGTTGGTGCTGCTCCATCCTCTTCTCCAGCTCCAGCTCCTGCGTGGACAGCTTGGCCTGGTGGGTTTCCCACAGCTGCACTGCCTCCTTGAAGTAGTTGAAGAGATCTGTGGTTTGCCACTCGGTCTGCTTTGCCAGGGACTCGAAGGATTTCTGCAGTGGCAGAATCCAGCAAATGAAACTTGAAGGCAATGGGCCATGAGGAGGGGCCCACTCAGGGGCCCTGCATCTCCAGCAACTGAACAGCACTGCCTGCACTTGCCAGAAACCCTCCCTCAAGGTCAACTTCTGGGCTCTCCCTGGGATCTTGGCCATTCCTCCCTGGGGTAGTGTCTCTGGTCTGCCCAGAGCTATGTCCTTGGTCTGGTTGAGCCTAAACTCTCACCTCTAGACCTGTCCTATGCTACACAAAAGTCACTGACAGAGAAAAACTGGAGTTTGGGCACTCAGGTGGGGACATACTGATAGTGGCTGGGGGCATCTCTCCTTCCCTGGAGTTCCCAGACTCATAGCATCTGGGCTAAATACCTAACTTGCTAAATCCTCTCACACACCACTTTTTAAAAACACATACATATCTTATGCCTTCATCTGGGTGAGGGGTCAGTAAATTATTGCTTACAGTCTAAATTTGGCCCATTATCTGCTTTTGTTTGGTTGGGTTAGCCAAGTATGGATATCACACTGTTAGTTGAAAAGGTCAAAAGAAGACATTGAATGAAGTGAAAATTATCTGAAATTCAAATCTTAGTGTCCGTCAATAAAGTTATCTGGACACAGCCACATCATTCATTTCTGCAGTGCCTGGGACTGCTTTTGTGCTACACTGGTAGAGTTGATGAATCATGACAGAGAACTGACGGCCCACAGAGCCTAAAATAGTCACCATCACAGAAATATGCCCTTCACAGAAATATGTGTTGATCCCACTCAAGACAATAAGTGTCTTGGGCTGGGGGCTGATTGTACCCACAGTTCTTGAGTGCCCAGGGTCGGCAAGGGCTTCCCCAGAGCTCTGCACAGCACCCACGTCTTTGGTGGCAGGAAAGGGACAGGGGATGAATCCTGTAGTGGCCTGGAGGAGGGAGCTACTCTGTGAGGGGCTGGCAAGGATGAGGGCAAGTGGACACACTAGGGACATGAAAGTTGGAAGCCCTCAGACTCTATTCTCCTTATAACCTGGCACCCCCCACCAGGGTTTCCACCACGCACGTCCAAGAGTTCCAGTTCCTCCTCCACCTTGGCCTGGAGCCCTCCCATCGTCTGGAAGAAGGACTGGTTCACCAGGGTTTCAGCCTCTTCCTCAGTGCAGACTTTCCAGTCCAGCAGCTGCTTCTGGGTGGGGGACACAAGGCAGAGCCTGACTTAGGCTGCAGACCCCACATGCTATGGGACCCGGAGTTGCTCAAGACAGACCTGAGGTCTCTTGAAAGACCCCTGCTTCCTGAGAATTCTGATCCCCCCCACCCCCAGGTCTGGAGGGGCTGGCCAGAGATGCAGAAGCTGACTAGCGGCAGCAGGAGAGGAGGCCCTCACAGCTCAGCACTCTTCAGAACAGTTATGCTTTACCAGGTAGGGAAAATGGACGGAAAGTGGGGCCTGGTAGGGCAGGAGGGTAGAAGAGGAAGAGGGGACGGGAGAAGGGAGGACGGGAGAGGGGAGGGTATTTGGTGGGACCTCACCTATTGTGCACAATGCAATGGTACATCTCAAACTACTGAAAGTGTAGTATGACTGTCTTACCACACAAATAAGTAAGTGAGATGATGGAAGTGAGTAAATCAGGTTGATTTAAACATTCCATATTGTATATCAAATCAGCACATTGTACCCCATAATTATACACAGTTATGATTTAACAAAAAAATACTAAATAAATAAATAAATATAGAACCTGCCACACAGTAAAAAATAAACGAATAAATAAATAAAAGAGGGGGCACTGCAGTAACGCCCAGGATGTGATCCCCATTTATAAACAAGGGTGAAGTTTGAGGTGATCTGGGAGTACGTACTTCATCTGACACGGGCTTCCTAGAGAAGGTGAAGTGGGCTAAAACCTGAGGATGGCAGGGACAGCTGGGGAAGGGGTGTGGCAGAAGGAACAGCTACAGAATGCTCAGAGGCCAACGAGCACTTGGGACCCCTGTGAAAGGAAGAAAAGCCGGATCTAGCCGGCAGGTGGGAGTCGGGTGGGGCAGGCCGAGGGCAGCAGGGGCGGGGCGGCCGGGCACAGCAGGCCCCACTCTGCGTTCCTCCCCTCAGGCCTGCAGGGGGCGCCCACCTTGCAGTCCCGCATGCGGGTCAGGCACTCCTCCCAGGTCTTCTCATACTGCAAGTGGATGCGCATCAGGCAGTCCATGTGGTAGGTGTCTGCGTGGGCAGAAAACAAAACAGGTCAGCTGCTCTTCCAGAAGCAGGAGGGGACTTAGAAAGGGGAGCGTCAAAAGGAAAGCAGCTTCTCCCCAGCAAAGTGCCGCCACAGCTAAGTGGATCTAGGTGAAATCGCTGGTACTGATTCTGATTTCTCCTTACAAAATTCCTGACACCACATGAGGAGCGCGAATTTCTGAACCTGATTCTTAACTGGCTTTCAGGGGTTACGGAATTCCTTTGGGGAAACTACACCAGGTCACACACCGGCCACGAGGCTGCAAACTAATGAGTGCTTACAGATCTGTCTGTGGTCCTTTACAGAGACGCGACTCGCGAAACACCCAGAGCTCTTTCATCTATGTTTCTCGCCGCCTCTCCTGTGTTTCCCAGTTTATAATAAACTCCGTGTGACTCCGGTTAGTGCTCCTGCCAGTTTCCAGAAACTGAAGGGCCTCAGAGACGTTTTGTAGTGGTGGTTCTTTGACAAGGGCTGGTGGAAGGGCAGTGTAGATGGCAGTAGGTCGGAGATTTAGGACACCTCAGACGGCTGCTTTGCGCAGGAACTGTCGAGAACAAGCTCTGCAGCTGCTTTTTTTTTTGTCCTCAGGGTCACTTTCTGGCCTAGGGCATCCCTATGCTTCCGGGAAGTCACCACAATGGGTTCTCCCAGGTCCCCTGCTTCCTTCCACCCTGATACCCCTCTGAATGAACCCTGGGCTTTCTCTGACTTCATTAGGAGAAGCTCAGAACCTTCTCCTGAGGTCCCACTGCCTCAGGATAATGCCCAGGTTCCCCACATAGCCGACATGGCCAGCAGAGTTGGCCCCTTTGCGTCTTCCAGCCTCTCCTGCTGCCTTCTCCTTTCTGTGACGGGCCAGTCACCTGCTGTGTCCTTCCAGATACTTCCCCATCTTACTTGCCTTGCAGGTCTCAAATGTTCTATTGCTTATTTGGCAAGCTCTTCCATGACCCCTAACCAGTTGTGTCTGACTGTGGGCTCATGTAGCTTGTGACCTGTTCATTCCTTGCTATCATGTTCCCTTTTGTCTAACTTCTACTCTGGACTGGAAGTGGCCCAGGGCATAGCCACCTGCTAGTTGCCAGGGCCCAGCACAAAGCCTGTCCCTAGGAGGCACTGAATGAATGGCAGCAATTATTTAGCATCTTGGGACTTGTACAGAAACACCCTTAGCACCATGAACCTGAGAGCCCTAGGAGCCATGGCAGGTACTAGTAACCAAAGTATTTAGCCAGGTCCAGCTGTGATACTTCACTGGCTATGTGACCTTGGGCAGGATGCTTCACTTCTCTGTGCTTCTGAGTCCTCTAGTACAAGAAGACAATAATACTACTGATCTTACTAGGCTATTGTGAGCCTCAAATGAATGGACAATTGTTATATAACTTCTAGAGCAGGCATCCTCAAACTACAGCCCGCAGGCCACATGCAGCCTGCCTAGGACATTTATCCAGCCCACTGGGTGTTTTTGCCACCACTGCCTGTCCTGCTTGGCAGCCAATTTGTCCCGAGGCCTTCAGTCCATCCCTGCAACAGTCTGAGGGACAGTGAACTGGCCCCCTGTTTAAAAAGTTTGAGGACTCCTGTAGCAAGACTCAGTAAACATTTTCTATAAAGAGCTAGAAAGTAAATAATTTTAGCTTTAGAGCCATTTGGTCTCTTTTGTAACTACAGATGCTGCTCAGCTTATGATGAAGCTACATCATGATAAAGTCATCGTAAGTTGAAAATATCATTTGTCAAAAAAGTGTTTAGTACACCTAACCTACCAAACATCACAGCTCAACTAGCCTACCTTAAATGTGCTCAGAACACTTACATTAGCCCCACAGTGGCAAACTCATCTGGCAACACAGAGCATGGCAGAGTGTCAGTTGTTTACCCTTGTGATGGCAGGGCTGACTGGGAGCTGTGGTTGCTGATGCTGCCCAGCATTGGCCAAGAGCTGAGGACCATCATACTCACTTCTGCCATTTAGAGCAAAAGCAATCAGAGGCAATATATAAACAATTAAGGCGGCTGTACTCCAATAAAAACTATTTACAAAATAACCAATTCATGGGCTATAGTCTGATAACCTTTGTTATAGAGCATTTTTAAACATTACCATTTATAATTGAGCCCTGAACTACTACTGGAAATCAATGCCACAAGTAAGGACTGTTATTACTTCTCTTGACATCTCTATTTTATGGAGGGGAAAATTGAGGCCATAACTCAATTGGCCTTGACTTCCCTAAGGTCACATAGCCAGAGTGGAGCAGAGCTGGATGTCAAACAGGGAGACCATGTGCTTCCCCACACACCCTTGGGACATGGTCCCTAAGCCATCCTCAGAGCCCTCTCTTTTTCTCCATGTTTGGTCATGGGTCAAGGGTCAGGGGTCAGAGTGTATGGCTGGCCTGGCTTCAGGCTGGATAGTGATGGGGTGGCCCTAGGAAGGCAGGAAGGAGCTTCCAAGTCCTCAGACCTCACTCTTCCCCCATACGCCCTTTCCTCCTCCCCAGGATGGAGGTACCACCCATCTCTATTCAGATAGATGACTGACTGCCTGGCTAAGCCACGACAAAGCTACTACTTGAACAGAATTCTGGGGAGACCTGACTGGGGTCCCACAAACATCACTTACCAAGCTGCTTGTTCAGGGCCTTGAGAGATAAATGCCACTCAGTCAACTGAGTCTTGTTGTAATTGGGGGGCAGGAGGTCACTGGGGAAGGAAGATATGAAGAGTAAGCCACACATGAACAAAACTCTTATTTGCCAAAATGGACAGCATCTTCAAGGAACATAGCTCCAGAAGAATAATCCATTTAAATACTGAAGAAACAAAGGGACCTGGGGATTTCCTGCTGCCAAAACACACCTCTCAAAAAGGTCTTTTAATATACATCAGTTTGTTACGTAGAAAGAAAACCCTGATTTTTCTTAGTGGGAAAAAATAAACTGTTCAAATCACCTGACCAAGGAAGCCTAATTCTAAGAAACTATTCTGAGAGAACAATGTAAAATGCATACAGAGTGTATATGCCTTAAAATGTTCACTTAACAGTGCTATTTGTAAACACATAATAATGAGGAAAAATCTTCTATTCCAACAATAGGAAGCCATCTAATAAAGTACAGTGAATTCTCTTCTGAAGTCCTTAAAAGTAGTATGGCAGATTGAAAAATGGTCAGTTTTGTTAGTTCCTCCCATGGAGAGGTGGAATCTTTTTCTCCACCCCTGGAGTCTGGGCATAGCCACGGGATTGGCTTTGACCAGTGGGATATTAGCAAATGAAACCAGCAGAGGCTTGAGAAGGACGGTGCGTGGACTTGCCCTCTCTCACTGTGGGGACTTCTTCTCCCACTTGCCATGGGTAGAAGCCCAGGTTGGCCTCCTGGAGGCTAAGAGAACACATGGAGAGAGTCCCCACCTAACCCAGCAGAGGCTCCATACACGGGAGTGAGGCCATCCTAGACCACCCAATCCTGGCCAAACAAGTGCAGACCAGGGGAGCCACCCAGCTGACTTCACAGAACTGTGAAAAACTAGAAATTACTGTTATTCTAAGACACTAACTTTTGGTTGATGTTGAACAGGGTGGAAAAATTCCTATGGCCAGACAGAACTTAGGATTTCTTGTTCAAACCAGGACATTTTTGACAGTGAAAGGAGTCACTACTCATCATTGTGCCAGGACAAGATTTGTAACCTGGGATGGTCTTGGGCAAACTGGGATTCTGGTCATCCTACTTATGATGGGACAGCAAAGAGCAAAGGGTAGGGACGAGAGTATGTACAACTTAGCCTCAATTCCAAGCATGATGCTCAACGCAGTGTGGTCGCCTGGGACAGAAGTGACACAAGCAGGATAATGTGAGATCCAGGTGAAGTCAGGTGTTTAGTTAATAGGAATGCATCAAAACTGATATCTTAGGACCATCCAATGTTGATGTAAGATGGAAACATCAGGATAAACTGGCTGAGGAGATAGGGCTATGAATTCTGTGTGCTCTTTTTATAAATTTTCTGTAACTCTAATATGACTCTAAAATGCAAACCTTTTTTTTGAAAAATTATTTTAATATTATATGTCTATACACAGTGTACTTATTGGGGCCAAGAAAATTCATTGGGATTCTCCCAAGCCCTAGGGAATCCTTGCTATCACTACCACATGCTTTGGACAGGGCCCATGTATGAGCAGCAGGGAGGATCCCCATCAGGTTTCTGGAGTTTTGGGGTTTCTGGAGAAAGGGCCTGGAGCTGTGGCCTGGGAAAGGGTGTAGGGCTCCCCATGTTGCCCTGTGAGGCAGTTACCTGGGACAGCTCCTCCTGCTTTATTAAAAGGCCCCTCTCTGTCTGGAAGGTCAGGGAAGAATAGGGGTCCTCTATACAGTGGGCTTTCAGGGCACTATCAGGTTCTGACCAGGACCCCAGCCTTCCCTGCTGAGGTCCACCTGGTCCATGATTAGGGCTTTGAGCCTTTACCTTGATGCCTGTGCACTTAAACCTTGTGTTTACAGTACCTGCTCTGGATGCTAGACTCGTGTCCTGACTTCACTGTCTACACTGTCCCATTGTGAAGGAGTGGCAGATTTTCTCCCACCTTATCCCAGCAAAGTCAAACAGGCCCACCCAGTTCCACCTGCAGACACTGCCATTGCATGGTGTCTGCCAGCTGTGCCCAGAAGCATTCAGATCCCCTCTCTCCCCTCTATTCAGACAGGGAGCCCATCAGCCCAAAGTTAGGGCCTGTGAGAGGGGTGTGGTGGGGCATAGAGGAAGGCAGCCTAGACATCTTTCTGGCTTTTGTTTTCAAAAGCCTAATATCTAGGAGAGTCCAGTGCATAGATGAGAAGGCATTTGTGGGCGAGGGCTGAGAGCCATGGGGACCAGATGTTTCCCACCCCAATAGAAAGGGGCTGTGGGCAAGTGGGAGCACAGCGGGACAGGCAGGTGTCTGGCAGTGGCAGCCTGGACTCTGCTTCCTGGTGGCACCGGGGAAGGAACTGCAAGATGTAGGGCCCTGGAGGGAAATGCTGCCAGGGCATGAAGACCTGGGCCCAGGGCAGCCCCCTTGAGATTCCTGCGTCCAACTGTCTTAGAGGTTGAGACCCCAAGGAATATTTGAGTTTTTCCCAGTTTAAAGAACAGTTAGAAACAGGTTAAATTACAGAAAATCCCACAAGTTCCTCTCGTGTCCTTTACACCTGGATCACAATGTAACTGCCCACGGGGCAGGAAGCACACGTCAGGGGAAAGACCTTTTGGCTCAGCCATGTGGGATCCTAATAGTCACTGAAATCCTAGGAGCACTTAGGACCTGGGTCAGGAAATGAGAAGACCCGTGTCCCTGGGTAATGAGGTGGGAGGAATGAATGAGGTGTGGGGAGCAGGAGGAACATTTTCCCCACACACAGTATCTCTGCTTTGCAGTTCCAAGCAGGCTCCATCCCTAGGCAGTGGGCTTCCAGGGCCTAGAACAGTGGTTCTCAACATTCCTAATGCCACAACCTTTTAATGCAGTTTCTGTGAGTCGTGACCCACAGGTTGAAAACCGCTGGTCTAGAACATTCAGTGGGCACCCCCCTTATTAGGGGATCTGAGTCGGATCCCTTAATAAGGGGGATGTGGGTCTGGACCCACATCTGAGGGGAGTATCTGCAGCCTCCTCACCGGCCCCGGACTGCAGACCCCTTTGACCCATACTTCCAAACTGCAAAGCTCGTGGAGCCACCTTGTTTCCCTCTGCCCTCAGGAGAAGGTCCGATGCACTTCACCCGGCATAGGTCCTGCGTGCTCTGGACTCCTCCTCAGCCCTGTCTTTTGCTTCTTTCAAGCGGTTTGGCACAGTCACACTAAGCCTCTTTTTACAGCAAACAAGTCATGCTCTTTCTTGCCACTGGGACGGGAATACCCTAGAATGTCAGTCCAGGTGGCCAGCCCTGGATCAGAGAGCTGGGAGATGGCCTGGTTTGGAGGGTGCCTTGGAGGGAGGCTGAAGGCCGCTCCTGCCCGTACCAAATAGTGCAGAGATGCTCCAGCCTCTTCTGCTGCATGTTGCTCTGGGTCTGCAGCATGCCATCTACTTCCTTCTTCACAGCTGGAGGAGACTGGATATCCTCACTGGCCATGAAGTCTCTGGGCAGCCAGACATGTTGGCACCATGGAAAGGAGAGGATGGGCAGGGTGGGAGTGAGAGAAGAGGAAGCCCAGGGTGAGAGCAGTCAGAGCCCCAGCACCCTTTCCCTTATACCGCCCCCAGCCCCTTCCTCCCCAGGCTCTGCCTGCACACCAGGACTCTGGAGAAAGATGGGAAGATAGGGGGGCGGGGGAGAACAAAGGTGCTACTAGTAAAGCTCTGGCACTAATAGCACAGGACCAGCAGCCTCAAATCCAATGGGGGTCCTGATTGCCATCTGCCTACACATCCTCCCCAGTCTGAGCCTCAGTTCCTCTTCTGTAAAATGGAGCTAATGATAGTACCTTCCTCACATTTGAGGGCTCAGTAAGATAATGCAAGCATAGCCCTTAGCACTGTGCCTGTGGGGCTCACGAGAAATGCCTAGTAAATGTCAGCGAAATGCCATCACTGTGGACAATTTGGACTTAACAACTTCTCAGGCCCGGGCCCAAACAGGCACTTTCCCTACAGTATCTCACTGGATCACTGAAAACCCTGTCGCAGGTCCATTATGGTGTCTGATTTGCACAGGAAGAGACTCTGAATATTCAAGGGCTTGACTAAGGTCACATGGAAGGGCAAGGTGGAGCCAGGCCTCAGTACACGTTTCCTTCATCCCCAGCAAAATGCCACTTGGTGGAGGAAGTGTGAGATGGACTCCTCTTCCCCCTCCTACAGTGGGCAAAGATGCTCCTCAAGGGTGGGAAGTATGTGCCTGCAAGATGTCTAACTGAACATTCGCCTGGGTCCAGTGTCCACTGAGTTATAAGTCATAATAAAGCGTGGGCATTAGACAGATAATCAGACAATATATCCTGGGCTCAGAGAATGCTGACAAAATAATGTTCATGAATTTAGACGTAAAACAGCATATACCGCATGGGGTCTAAAAGAGCTTGGGAGAAAACATACAAAACTGTCAGAAGAGGGGGAGACTGCCTCCTCTAGCCCCCCGGGGTGGGGAAGGGCTGTGGGAGGCGTGGTTCGCCACAGACCTGAAACTTTGCAGCAAAGTCCCCTTCTTGAAATTCTTCCAGGCGTTCACCAGGCCCTGCCAGCGGCGGCGGCTGTTCAGCTCCTCCTGCAGGGTAGCCTCCATCAGGTTGACTAACAGTTGGGCCAGGGACCTCCGGTTGCCCAGCAGGGCATGGTTCATGACCTGTGGTCACAGGCAGGTAGGGCTATAGACAGGGTGGGAGCTCTTGAGTCAGAGCAAACCCCAGATAGAGAGGGAGGGTGGGAGGCTGGAGAGGGCCAGAGGACAGGCAGGCTGAGGGCTAAGTGGCAGTGGCAGAGGGTGAGGACGACCAGGGAGTCAGTACACACTCAAGGAAGCTGGCTAGCAGTTGTCTAGCAGAAGTAACCATGGACAGTGACAAGGGTCCTTCCCTGGAGGCTTAACCGTGGACTCTGACCACATAAGCTTCAACCCATCTCCGAGGCTACAGAGGATGCATTGTTAGAGGGTGAAAGGAGTGTAGCACTCGTTTACTCTTTTTAGTAATCTTCCCCCAAAGCATAGTGCTCATGCCATCAGGGACAGTCACATATAACTGTTGAAAGAACCAAGACCCAAGGACCAAATGAGGCCAGAGCTCTAGCATTCTTCCGGCTTCCCAGGGGTTCCCATGGGAACACAATTGGCAGGGGAGTAGGGACAATCCTTCATTGCGTGGCTCTGTTCTGCTCTTTAGCGTCCCAACTACCCTCACATGACAGTCACTTCTCCCATTCTCCCAGACACAGAAATTTCCACTGTACTCAATACTACTCTGAAATCAGTATATAATCACCCACACATTCATATATATGGTAAAACACAACTATAGTTCAGAAAGAAGGAGGGAAGAGGAGGGAGAGGGGAGAGGAGGGTGGACACTGGGAGGAGGGAGGATATTTGGGGGGACCTCTCCTAATGTGCATAATGCAATGATACATTTCAAATCTATTAAGAATAGAGTATAAATGTCTTACCACAACAAATAATTAAGCAAGGAGGCCGTTATGTTAATCAGTTAGATGTAATAATTCTACATTGTATATGAAATCAGCACATTATACCCCCTAAATGTATTAATGTACACAGCTATGATTTAACAAAGAAAAAAAAGAAATTTCTCCACAGGCCTCTGTGCACTTCCCAAAGCCTCCTAGGGGGGCAGCAGCACCTGGGGTGGGAGTGAGAACCCTGTCAAGATCAGTGGATAGAAAATCCAGTAACGCTTTTCAGTGGAGTCTGAGGTTTAATGTAGCTGCACTTCCTAGGAGGGGGTCATTGGCAAGTATTTCCTCAACCTCCAGATCCACAGCCATAGTATGAGGATAATGCTAAGGATTCCAAGAAATTAAATGAGATAAAGGCAGATAGAGCAAGTAGCAGATGCTAGTCGGTATACTGAGTGAAAGCAGCACAGGGAAGTGAAACATCGAAACCCACCTGGAACACTGAAACCCTAACTCTCCTTATGGATGAAATGTGTGCAATTTAGGAGCTATCTCCGATGGCAAAAGGGAGCTGAGCCCCTTTTATTATCCTCCCAACCAGTCCTGGCGGGTAGGTATTACAGACATCCTCAATTGATGATGGTTCCACTTAAGATGTTTTGACTTTAAAATGGATTCATAGAGGTATTAAATGCACTTTCACCTTATGGTATTTTCTACTTAAGATGGATTTGTTGGGAGGTGTCCCTATTGTAGGCCGAGGAGCACCTGTATCATCCTCATATCGTGGACCAAGGAGCTCCTGGCACTGGAACTGCGTCATTTTGGGAGCTTCCACATCTGGGCAGTGCTGAAGGTCTGTGCTCCCTCCCTGTCTGGGCTTTTTCCAGGACACACAGCAGAGACCTGGGCTGGGCCCATCTCACTGTGATTCTGAACAGTGTCCTCTTCTCAGCCTGCCATGCTATCAGCAGGCCCACTATCTGATACGCCCAGCTCTCTGCACAGACCAGGACACTCACAAAAGCAAAATGCACCTCCGAGCAGGCAAAAGAGAATCCTTTCTCACAATGGAGAGAGGTCAGACTTTACTCTGACATAGAGGACATCATGAATAACCTTGAACTTTGTATTTTCCACACCAAAGAAAGCAGCTGGGGGAGATTGGGGGTGTGGACAGGGGGAAGCAGTGGAGACACAGCCAAGGGTCAGGCATGGCTTAGCACCGGGCACTGACCACGGTGGGGAGAGAGACATGAAAAATCAGAAAACCAGTCAGTGAGGGTCACTTGTGAGAATGGAAACTGCCCTGAGACTGTGATGACCCCAAGATGACGACTCCATAACATCACACCTATTGCACTGCGTATAGTAGCTGAGGAACAGCCCAGTAGGTGCTTAGGAAATCAGTGCTTCAAATGTTGGCACTATGCTAGGTGTGCCTGGTTTCAGATGGCAGGGAAATATGAAATGAACTTGAGAGAGATTTCTATCGGAAATGCTCACAATAGCAAAGACTCTGATCCAACCTACGAGGCCCCCCTGAGTACTTGGAAATGTTACAGATGAGACACCAGCCTAGGGTACCCTGGGGTCCTGCACCTTCTTCCATGGGCTGAGCCCTAAATGGGAAAACCACTCACCATGGCTTCTTTATCTATCAGCCTGTTCACATCAGGCTGCATGAGGTAGGAAGTGTTCTCTATGATTCTCGCATACTTCTTCAACACGCTTTTTAGCTAGAAAAGGCAAGGTACCATAGTTAGCGACTCATTTCCTAAAGCACCAACAAGAAACAGAAGGATGCCCAATACACCCTGCAAGTGAAAAGCACCAAGGAACCCATCTGCAGCCAACTCACTTTGTTGGCTCGGGAGAACTCCAGGGAGTGCAGCTCTTTATCCAGCCCCTTGATCTTCTGCTTCTGGAGCCGGAATATCTTGGCCACCTTATCCCAGAGGTCCGATAGGGTCTATGCAGGGAAGTCTGGGTCAGACTGGGAGCTAGTGGGAGGGAGGGAAGGAGCAGTACCTGGATAGAGCCCAGCCATGAAGGGCCCCCTACCTGCATAGTGTAGTCCTCAAAGCTGGTGTCATCTTCCACCTTTCTGAAGAGATTGGTGATGTCTTCATTAGAGTTAGATAGTTTTTCCAAAAAAAGTCTCCCTGTCTCCAAAATTAGAGGTTCCATTTCCTGCAACAGGCCAGGAGGGTGATGGCCATGGCATCAAAGCCCCAGGAAGGAGAGAGCCCTCCCTGTGATGGGGAAGCACCAGGCATGGGACCATCTCAGAAATGAAGATGACTACCTAGACCTGAGGAGTAAAGGTTTACTAATTAACTCACAACCAGAGGACAGCAGCCAGGCCATACACCAAGCACTCTGGGCCCTCCTCTTGACTCACTTTATTCTCAGCATGGCCTGTGATGTAGGTTCTGATATCAGGCCTAGCCTGGGGGTAGTGTTCAATAAATACTAATTAAAGAGGCGGCCAAATGAAAGAATGCCAAGTTTACTCTAGATGAAGAAACTCCAGGTTCAGGAAGTTTGCTTGACCAAGGCCGTGGAGCTCATGGATAAGAGTCGAGCTGGTGTCCAGGTGGAACATACTGAGAAACAGAGACAGCCCCGGGAATCCAGGGTGGGACAACATGAGTGAAAAAAGATATGGGGCTAAGTGGGTGAATGGAAATCTGCACTCAGAGCAAACTGGATGGGCAAAGGCTGGTCTTGTTTCAGAAACATTCTGGGCACCAGTGTGTTTAGAGATGACATCTCTGGGGAGGAGTGAGAACTAAGTGTGGCCAAGTGCATAAGGGCCTGGCAGCATCGAGCTGTCACTGGGGTCACACCATTGGGCACTCCACGAACAGGACCGGGCAGGGCAGTCAAAGGCTGGGCTTTAACATCAGACCTGGAAGGAAGTTCTGACTTGGCCCCTGATGTGCCAAGTCAGGAGAGACTCCCTGGACCTCACTGCCAAATGGGTAATAATGGCACTTGATTTATAGGGCTCTTCCAAGAGTTACAGGGAGCCGTACTCATAGCAACCACTCAGAGAGCCACTCAGACATGGCTACGATTCCATCTATGTCTATATCTCAGCAAGCCACTGCGACCTCCTTGTTGAGGAGGAGGGAAAGAGGCTGGGTGCCTTGACAAAGCCGCCTTCAGAATGGTGTGGGAAGGGAGCAGGAGGGGAAAAAAAGGAAGCTCACCATCCCAATCTGCACAATCTCCTCCTCAAAGCTGGCCAGGGCGCTCTCATAGTTCCTTTTCTTGTAGTCTTCTCGCCCTTTAAGGGCGACAGTGTTTATCTTCTCAGGAACTGTGGAACAACAGCAGAGATGATGGGCCACTCTCACACCTCCCAGGAGAGGGGAGAACTCTCAGAAGGCTGTGCTGGCAGAGAGACCCTGCACACCAGGGCTTAAGTTCAGAAGGTAGACCCCAAAGCTAGGCTAGCATGGCAGGGGCTTAAGGAAATAAAAAGATGACAGTGGTCCATGAGTGCTATACAGAATGAGACCTTGGATATATGGTTACATGTATATGTAATTCATGTTTTTTGAAAGTCTTTTATAAGCACATAAGCAAATAATAATTGCTGACACATTTATGGAGCACCTCCCGCAGAGTAGGTATTGTTCTAATTCAGTTACTCCCCATGATGAGGCCCAGAGGCAGGTTCTCTTCCTGGCCTCATTTTACAAGTGAGGAGACTAGAGCGTGGGGGGTTAGAGAACCAAGTCAGTCAGTAGCTGAACAGGGATCTGGACCTGGGCCACCTGCTCTAGGCTCTGCTCTGCTGTCCCCTGTACCCAGGTGGGAAGCTGGATACCACGTGGGATATGAGGGAACAAGGAGTGCCATTGTAGAGGTAGGAGTTTTTCCTTTCTTGTTATCTCCTTCCTTTGTTTTTCTACAGTGAGTGTGTATTGCTTTTTTATCATACAGAAAAGGGGCCTCCATATTGGGATAAATCAAACCTGTACAGCGCAGTGTGAAGGAGGCAAATGTGGACTGAGAAATAAAGGAGCTGCAGGGAAGAGAGTGACATCCTGTCTTCAGCCGATTATTTGTCATTGGCCAACAGCCACTGTGCAGGCAGCCCCTGGGAGGAGACTGGGGAGGTGGCCCAGGTGGCTGAGCTGAGGAACACAGTGGGAGCTTCACAGGCTTCTTCAGAGTTGCTGCCGGAGACACGCCCCACCCCAGGCTATCCCTGTCCGGGCTGCCCAGAGGCTCACCCATAATGTCCGTGAGCCCATGCACTTCTCTGGCCGCAATGGTGCTCTCACTCTCTCGGATCTTTTCTTTGTGGGCTATTTCCTTTTCCCTGAGGCACAAGCAGAAGAGAGTAAAGCCCTACCCCACCTCACCAGACACCATCCAGGGCAGCTCTGACAAATGGGGGAGTCTCCAGGGGGTGCTGTGGGCAGCTATAATGGCCTGGCCCCGATTCCAGGGAACCGCAAAGCAGTGCGCAGGCTCCCAACAAATGCTGCCTGCACATCTCCTGCCAGCAGGTGCTGTGGCTTCCTGGATAAGAAGTTGTTGGGTATCCACCCTCAGGAAGTCTGCTGTGGCTCTGGTGGTACACCAAGGGTGGGAATGGGCCATGGTCTACCTGGGAAAACAGATCAGAAAGGCTTGAGGACCCTGAAGAGCCAGGCCGGGCTGCACTCCCAACACGAAACCTCATCGGCTCCTTCAGCAGCCCATCCTGCTAGGCAGCTGGGGTAACCCCATTTTCCAGGAAGGAAGGAGTAGGGGCTTAGAGGACCCACTGTATGAAGACAGTGGAGATGCTAAGAACCACCTTGTGACTCCAAGGTCCATGGGGTTTGGGTGAGGGAGTTTAGTAAAAGCTGGGATCCCAGGACAAACTATCTCAGCAGGTGGGCCAGAGGGGCGACCATGACATTAGCTTTGAAATATAAACTCATGAAGACACCATCTATGGGGCAAGCACCACAGAAATCCACAGTTCTCAATGACTGCTGCCATTCCTCAGGCCCTGTGTGTCTAGCACTTTCCAGCCAACTTCTCATTTAGTCCTATCTGTAGGCCCACCCAGAAGGAAAGGGGACTACAGGGACTGGGCTGTGGCTGATGGGGCCCAGGCCAACCATCTAGAGGTGGGTCTTTCAGGACTTGTCATTCTAAATGCCTCTGGCCCAGGGTAGCTAGTAGGAGCCCACAGGACAATGAGAACTGCTGTCAGCTCTGGCTTCTGGGCTGCTTGCCTGGGGAATTGGGGGCTTTGTTTACACTGTGGTCATCTACCCCCTACCCTAAGCTGGTCTCCACCCACCCAGGGGCCCCAGACTGGCCTTGGCTGGCTGAATTTCAAGCACCTGAACCCTATGATATGTGACCTAAGGAAGACTGGGTATCCTGGCCCTGCTGCTGGTTAGGCCAGTCTGGCCTCTGGTAGCCCCCCAGAGTGTCTAGAGGAGGCTGGCCCCCATGGCCAGGGCAGGCCTGAGAGCACTGACCCACAAAGGGGAGCAGAGAAAGAGGAACAGGAGTTCCAGGGACTGTGCTGTGTGGGGAGTCCCGGGGCCTGGAGCGCCCTATGGAGCACGGTTGACAGAACCCTTAGGTGGCCTCAGCAAGAGCAGCTGGGGTGGTTAAGAACTGGACTCCCAACAGCTGATGAGCAGTAGGGAGAGCAAAGACTTTTCTAAGACACCTGACCTCAATCAAGGAAAGGGTGGGGAGGCAGAGACAGGGTGTGATAGAAAGAGGACAGTGGCAGAGGCAGGCTCCCCTTTCTAGAGGGGAGAGGCCTGTGCACCAGAATGAGGTAGAGGTAGGAAGGGGCAGTGAGGTGGAGTTAGAGGAAGGGTTCCCTGTAGAGGGAGGTGGAGAAGGCTGGAGGGGCTGGGATAATGCCAGGAAGCCAAGGTGGCATCTGGCTTCCCCAGCCCTGGGAGATACTGATGCAGCCAGGAGAGCAGGAAGTCCAGCTTATGATCTCTTTTCCTCAGTAATAGGGGAGGACAGGGCAGGGACTGCAGTGGGAAGAGGTGCTGGGAGTGGATGGCAGGTCAGGAGAGCTGCTGTGAGGCTCCAGGCTGCCCAGAGGGTCCAGGTGCGCTGGGGGTGCTGCATCTGGGAGTGTCCCTCTCCCATGGGATGCAATTTTGTCTAGCTTTTATGGCTTGTGTAGGACTCAGAAAGCTGGGTGGGAGTTCTGCTGGGTAGGAAGAGGATGGGGACTGAGGAAGGTGAGCTAGTAGCCTTAGGCTGGTTGGGGGAAAGTGAAGGCAGCAGAGGCTGTGGGTTGAAGAGGGAGGTAGGAAGGGAAATACTTCTCAGGGGTAGGGAATAGTTAACCCAAGAGACTGAATATCAAGTTAGTGACCCCAGCCATTCGGGGTCAGCAGGGCCTACCAAGTCGCAAACACATCCCTGCTTCTGCCACAGGCCACAGGGAGCTGTGCTCTGTTTCTGCATCCAGCACAGAGCAGGGCTTGTCTGTCTATCCCAGGAAGTCAGCCCAGAACAGCACAGCACAGCACCTGCACCCCCCGTGAGAAGTGCCTTTCCAAAACACTGTCCTATGGGTCTAAGAGCTTCTGACCAATGCTGTATCTGGATATTGGGATGTTGGGTATTTCTAGGCTGAACCCTGGAGAAGAAGCGACCCCAGGAGCCACAGGGAGATGCTGGGAGACCTCCAGCCTGGATGAGAACAGGTCACACTGCCCTTCTAAGAGGTGGGCTGGAACTTAGACAGACCCCAGCTGCCTGTGCCTCTGGGGCATCAGGCAGGAAAATACAGGCTGGAGAATGCTGACCTCAAGTCTGGGCTTGGGTGGACCAGTGGATTTGCCCATCTGTAGGTAGTTAAGGGTACTGAGAAGTCTCTGGGGTGGTTTCCCTAGGAGAATTCAAAGGTCAGGTCAGGGCAGAGACCTGAACCCAGAACTGGGTCTGTCCCCCCACCCAAAGAGGATAAAAGGGACAACAAAGGCAGGTAGGGGAAGCCTGACTTCCCACCCCAGAGTCCCAGGTTAGTGAGGCGTTTACAGCTTGTGCAGACTCTAAAGAACCCAAGGAAAGTCCAGCTCCTGCTTTATGTTCCCAACAATCCTGGGAGAAAGATCCTTTTCTTTGCCTTTTTTCCCTAGCCAAGGGTCTGAGTTCAGCAAACTGAAATAGCATGCTTAGAAATCTCAAGTTTAGCTTCTGAACTTGGAGGTTCACAAGGAACTCCTGATCTCCTTGCCCCACCCCACCTGCTCCCACCTCAGGGAATGGTACCCCTACTGTACACCCAGCACTCTGGCCAGAGATCCAGAGTCCTGGGGGGCCTTCTCCTCCTATCAAGTCCATCACTGGGTCCTGTGGGTTCTGCCTCCAGAAGACACCAGAAGTCCACTCCTACTTTCCCTATTACAGCCAGGACAACTGCAGCAACCTCCTCCTTGGCCTCCCTGCCTCTTCTTGCAGTCCCCCAAATTCTGCACAGAGCTGCCCATGGGGCTTTAATAATGCAAATCAGCTACTCATGGCAGTAAACTCCAAAACACTGACTGGCCTGCAAGGCCTCCCCCAGTCCCATCTCCTGCCTTCTCTCCAGGCCCACTGACCTTCAGCTTCCAGGAACGGGCCAAGATTGTCCTTCTCTGAGCCTTGCCCTTATCCTTGTCCTCCCTCATACTCTGGTCTCAGCTAAGGCCCCTCCCAAGAGCTTTCCTGACTCCTGTCCCATAACCCCTGTCCTCTGAGTCAGAGCCTTCCCATCATTAGGGGGGACATGATTAGTTATTTCCTTTCAAGATGGATCCATGTGGGTGGGATCCCCTAGCCCAGTGCTTCTCGACCTTCCTAATGCTGTGACCCTTTAATACAGTTCCTCATGTTGTGGTGACCCCCAACCATAAAATTACTTTCGTTGCTAATTCATAACTGTAATTTTGCTACTGCTATGAATCATAATGTAAATATCTAATATGCAGGATGTATTTTCATTGTTACAAAGGGGTCGAGACCCACAGATAGAGAACTGCTGCCATAGCCAGTGCCTGGCCTTAGGCAACAATCAACAATCACTGGAGGAGGGAATGGGGAGAGAAAGAAGCTATCCTGCAAAGTAGATAGTGTATGATCACCTCCTTATTTTAGGGGAGATTTCATTCCTAGCCGGCACCCATCTTGTGGGAGGTTTTATTGAGTTTTTGGAGACTCTAAGGCACCCCAATCGTGTGTGTGTGTGTGGGGGAGGGTTTCTGGACAGCATGACTTGCCTGTAAAGAACAGGGTTTTCTGTGATCCAGTCATTGGGGAGGCTGTGCGCCCACTTCCGCTGCCGAGGAGTCATCATCTCTCCATTAGGAATCTCCGTCTTCTTCATCATGGGCATCTTACCACTCTTTAGGGTCACAGAATGCTCTGCAGCCCGCTGCCTGGCGACTGCCAGGGACTGGATTAGCTGTACCTGAATCCAGGGAAGACCAGGAGTGAGGAGGTGGCCAGAGCTGCTAGTTCCCGATTGCCCTCAGGCTGACTCTGCCTGTCTTAGGCAGACATCTGGGAACTTGCCACTAGTAAGATACTTTGCAGGGAACCCTTCAACCCCAGTGAGCACCCCCTGCAGGAGGGGTCTCCTCCTTCAACCCCAGTGAGCACCCCCTGCAGGAGAGGTCTCCTCCTCTATAGCAGTCATTAAACCCCTTCCAGGAAGACATTTTTTTTAAGAAACTTTAATGAAGACTAAGATGTACATCAACCTTATTAAAATTATATTTTTATAGTTATTTATTTATTTGAGATGGGATCTTGCTATATTGCCCAGGCTGGTCTCAAACTCCTGGGCTCAAAGCATCCTCCCACTTCAGCCTCCTGAGTAGCTGGAATGACAGGCATGTGTCATTGCACCTAGGTTTGACCTTTTTAGGAAAAAGATTTGGGAAAAGGAATGAACCAATAGCAGAGGATTGGTTGAATCAACATGGTATGTCCCTTAGATGGAATGTTAGACATTTACGAAAGATGATACTTACAAAGAATAAAAATTTTATAACATGAGGAAATGCTTATGAGATGATATGTAGTTAAATGTATCAATTTAAAACATAAAATAAAAATTATAACCAAAATTATACAGTATGATCTCTAAATTTTAGAAGCATAAAAAAATGACCTAGAAGAAGCATGCCAATCATTAAGAATGACCTATTGCTTACAGGGAACAGGATTGTCTGAGAAATTTAATTGTTTGTTTTTCATACTTCTTTTGTAATTTCCCAAGGTTCTACAGAGAGCATTATTTTAGACTCAAATTAGGAATGAAAATCTCTTTAAATAAGCAGTATAGAACTTCAAAGGATGTGTTCCTATTTGTGTGTTTCTTTTACAATCTCATTTTGTCTGCACAATGCTTTAGCAAGGACAGTTTCAACAATTAAAGAAGGCTTAACTTTAATACAGTTCTGGGAGCCCTAGATCAACAAGCAGGCAGCCACTAAGCATCCTGAAGTGTATGGATGCCTGTGGGCATAGGAATGGATATGTGAGATGCCATTAAAGAGAAAAAGCAGGTTTCAGATCATTAGTACAGAATAGAAACAATTTTTTAAATAGGAAAATTAGAGACACTTCTATGTGTGGGGAAAAGACACAGGGCGCCCAATTCTTCATCTAGGCTATTTCGGAGTAATTTAAAATTTTTAATTTAAGTTTTCTAATTTTCAAAAATAGACATTCTAATTCTGTATATGTACATTTAAAGAACCGATGAGAATTATTTTTAAAATAGAATAATGTCAAAGCCTTTATTTCATTAGATTCCCAGACCTGGAAGAGAAGGGACTGAGTTAGGAGGGATGAGGGAAGCAGAAATGCGGGGCAGAGAAAATGGGGGCAAGCGGCGGGCCTTACCTCTGCCTCGAAGATCTGCTGGTAGACATTTCCATTCTGAACCCGGGTCACCTTCCCCACCGACGACATCCTGGCAGCTGGCTGGAGGCTCTTGCAGCGAAGCGGTTGTCCGGGAGACGCGTCTGGAGTTTGGTCTCAATTCCTGCCTGGATCTCAAACCAATCCCAAGGGTTGGGAAATCAACGCCCGCCCCAAGCGCATGTCCTGGCACAATGACTACTGGCCCCAATGGTGGCACCCCACCCCACCCAAGCAGGACCCCCAAGGCAGAACCCTCTACTTCGGGGACAGCGGGACGCTCCCCAAGCCGGCTCAGGGTTACAATTTTAAACAAAACACAGAGGGAGGGAGACAGAAAGTTGATAAAACTAACCTCCGAGGAGACCCAAACTCTCGGGTGAGTTTGGTTGCCCCTGCAGCTCAGGGCGCAAATCCGAGAGGGACTTTGGGGACGCCAATAATACGGGATTATTGTTTGTGCTTCACTCTGCCAAATTCTTCTGGGAAAAGTCAGGACGCCCAAAGGGTCAGCTGGGATTGGAATCCCAACTCGAAGCTAAACTGGGGTCTAGGAGCCTACCCCACCTTCCAGGGAACACATGCAGGGAGGGTGAAGGGGCCAGAGGGAGTAGCCGGATTCTGGCCGCGCTCCTCCCGGGTCACCCAAGGACTCCTGGATGATCCCAGAGCCCAGAGGATTGTTGGGAGACCCTGCGCCCGGCCCGCCCGCACTCGGTCAGGCGCAAAGCACCTCTCAAGTCAGCAGGGACCAGTCCAGTAGCAACTACAGCCAGACACGCATGGTCGCCAAGGCAACACTGAGGGGCGGAGCCGCGATGGCCCCGCCCACGCTTGCCTTCCTAGGGAAGGCGAGTTGCTCTCAGCAATGGGAGCGCACTTGTGGAGTAGTAAAACTCTATCAACTGCCTCTTTAAATGCCAGTTTCTTCTCTGCACAAGGGAATACCTCAGGCTGTCAGAAACATCCAGAGATAACTGATGAGATACTTTATAGCGATTACATGAATTTGTTGATCATCTTGAGGAGAAACATCTTAGTAATGATAAATAGCAAAAATCAAAACACACACACACATACACACCCAAAAACAACCAAAAGGTAACACTGTAATATAAAAAGAAGAAATTACAAACGAGGACTAAATATTTGCAACTCATATTACCAAGCTCATATCCCCAATATATAACAGGCTCCTACAAATCCAAAGTAGAAAACTTGGCAAAAGATATTAACGCTCGATTAACAGAAAAAGAAATAGCAATTAACTTTAAATGGATGAAAACATGTTCAGGCTAAGTCATAATATGACAAAATTGTTGGATTCAAAAATTTGACAACATACTCCAAAGTGGTAGAGCCATGGGAAAGTGGTTTTCTCCTCTCTAGGCCCCTTGGGCCCAGTACCCTGTGGCCTGAATACACTGGGGGTAACCATGAGGTCTCAGGGAACATGGGGCACCAAAACCCAGCAGAGGTTGGTTGGGGGGGACCACATAGAGCCAACCTCAAGAGCAGACAGAGCCTTTGGTACATTGTACATGAACAAGCTCGGACAGTTAGGTGGGGCCTTGTAAGCCCATAAAAGCTGGGTGTTCATTTAAATTTCTGGTTTAGTGGGATTCTTGTGTCTCCTGAAGGAAGCACTCCTACATTTAAAACAAAGATTTCCAGAGAAGCAGAGTTTAAGGTCCCAGGGACATAAAACAAACATTATGCTTGTAGCTCACTAGCAGTAATGATGGTAATAGTGAATGCTGTCATTCCCATTGCCACTTTACATTTCCACTAGTGAATCCCAGCTAAGGGAAAAACAGTACCATATGATGTATGATGATTTAGAGTATGTACAGCTTCCTGGAGAGCATTGCCCCAGGCCTGAAAGGTACTGCCACCTAGTGTAGCAGCTCGTAAGCCATGGCTAGGAGGAGTGAGAGTTATAAGAAAACACCTGTATGGCTCAATAATGGAACGCCTTGGTGAAAAGGCATGGGGAGGGAGTTAGGTCTCCCAACAAGCATCAGAGAGCTCCCGAGATGAGAGCATTAGTGAATTGACAGTCTCTATACCTGTGGTATTGAGAAGCACAAGATCAGCCCTATATCAGGCTGGAGGAGAAGGCAGTCAGGAGTTCGCATTCTATCACCGACCCGCTTACTCTGACTCTGTCTCCTCTCCTGCCTGCGGAACACCAGCACGGCATCTCTCTGCTGAAGCTTACTAAGCTCTGCTAAAGACTAAGATCTATTCTAAGACTACTTCACCCCAAAGACTCTCTCTCTCTCCCTTCTGCTAAGGTAAATAGCCCTCAGGCACCTAAGAGCAATTGTTCCTGAGCAAGGTAGCATAGCAGTCCATGTCTGGAACCTAGATAAGCCAGGGCCAGAGACCAACCAGTCCTGGACCCTGACCAGTGGCAAAGACAACCTAGGTGACATAACCATTGAGTTTTCAAAAGCCTTAGGATGGTGGAGAATGTGGTAAGATCAGTGAGTGCCATGGACATGGGCTCCATTTCATTTGCCATCGTGTGTGTTCCTTGGCCAGAGGCAATGCTGGGAATTTCATGACAATGGCTAGGTCTCTGTGAGTTTACAGGTGGTAAGCACAGAAGCATTATATGCAGTGAAAGCAAACTGCTCCCTGGAAGAGCAAAATGCTGCCTCTTTCATGGTAGAAGTCATGCAGCGCACCCTCTCTGTAGCTGCGCAATCATCCTGGAGAATGGTGCCATATGGGGGGGACTCTGTCTTGGTTTCTGCTGCAGAAGTTTGGGTGCTTAGCAGTGGTGGAGGCCAGGTCAGTCCTTATGCCTGGAAGTCCATGTTACTGACCCAAGCAGAGCCTCCATCCCTGCCATTGTGGCCATTTGTTCATGAGCCCCATGAGTATTGACAGGAGTGGCTGGGAAAAGAGGCCAACTGGTACCTACAGAATGGCTCATCTTATACAAGTGATTATTAAGCTCCTCCTCTGTGAGGTCACTCTTTGACAAGCATTCACATGGAACACAGATGTGTTCACCATTTTTTTGCCCATTCAGAAAGGTCTGTGCATGTACTTCTTCCTCACACCTCCTTGTTACCAATTTTATAATCACGTTCTCTCCAAGTTCCTGATCATGCAGTCAACTCATTGCTCCATGAATTGGAATAGTCATGTCTCTGGCCATTTTCCTTCCAAGGAAAATGGGCAGCCATATGCAATGCTCAAAGTTCTTCCCACTCAGAGGGTGTGTCTTCTGTTTTCTGGTAAGGATGTCCCACAAAGGCACTACAGTACTGCAGCTGTCCCTTTATGGTAGGGCCTACACATCATGTGGAGCCATAAACACTAGACCCAGGTTTTCTTTTCTTCAGTCAACTGATGACCCACAAAGTCATAGGTGTGATCTGGAAGAACAGTGATACAGCAAGAGTGGAGACATGGACATTTGGGCCATATCATCAGGTAACTTAACTGTACCACCAGGGTCTGCTGTGCCTGTCCTCATATATGCCATATCCATCTGAGGATAGACTGCTGCTGTGCACAACAAACCTCATGGCTTGGTGGGTAAGGTAACTCCCAGTTCATGGTGAGCAACCAAGTTGCCCAGAGTTAAATATTCAGTGCCTACTGAGGCCCAGTAGTGGGCCAAAAGCTGCTTCTCAAAAGGAGGGTAGTTATCTGCAGGGGATGGCAGGGTTTGGCTTCAAAATCTTGTGTTGGCAATGTGAGTCACCTATAAGGTCCTGTAACAGCCCTTAACAACTCCAGATGCCACTGACACTTCAAGCACTATTGGGTCTACTGGTTTACACGCCAGTGGCAGAACAGCTGACATGGGAGCCTGGACCTCTTGCAGAACCTTCTCCTCTTCTGGGGCCCACGTGAAATCAGCACCATTGTGATCACTCTCTATATGAACTGGAGTAATGCGCTGAAATCAGGAATATGTTGTCTCCAAATACAAAGTGCGCTGCTTTTTAGTGCAATGCCTCTTTTTAGGAAGAGTCAGGGGCAACCATTTATCCTTCACCTCAAAAGTCATATCTCAACATGCTCCACACCACCAAATTCCTAGGAATTTCACTGGGGTGGGAAGATCCTCAATTTTCATCAGATTTATTCCCCACCTCTGACATTCTGATGTTTTAACAAAAGGACTACTAAAGACTTTATCAAGAAGAATAGTGCTTCTCATTGCTCACTGTGTCTAATCAGTATAATGTCTTCAAGGTAATACAACACTTTTGTGCCTTGCGGAAGGGCAGAGCAAACAAGGTCCCTGTGAACTAAAATAATGACATCAGGTAGGAGAGTTGAAATACCCCAAGATAGTGTTTTGCTGGCCTTTCCAATGGAAAGCAAACTGGTCCTGGTGTTCTTTCTAACAGGCACTGAGAAAAAAAACATTTTCCAGATCAATAGCTGCATAGATACCAGGGCAGGGATCAATTTGCTCAAATACAAAACAACATCGGGTATACCAGCTGCAAATAGAGTCCCCACCTGCTCATCTGTATGATAATCCACCACCATTCTCTAAGACCCATCTGTTTTCTGCACAGGCCAAAAGATGAGCTGAATGGATATGTGGTAGGATTCAGCACCCCTGCATCCTTCATGTCCCTGATGGTGCTGCAAATCTCTGCAGTCCCTCCAGGAAGGTAGCATTGCTCTTGGTTTACTCTTTTCCTAGGTAAAGGTAATTCTGGTGGCTTCCACTTGGCTTTGCTACTATAGTAGCCTTTATTCCACAGGGTCAGGGAACCTATGTGGGGATGGTGCCAGTTGCTAAGCCCGTCTATTCCAATTATGCATCTTGGAATCTGGGGGGAAAAACGCGAGTGGTTTCAGGAACCCACTAGACCAGTGATTCTCTACTTTTCTAATGCTGCAACCCTTTAATACATTTTCTGTGGGTCACAACCCACAGATTGAGAACCACTGCGCTAGACCTATTATGAAATAGGCCTGAGCTAAACTCTGTGATCACCTGAACTCCATAAGCCCCTATTCTGACTGGTGGAACATAGTAACATTTTTAGTCTCCTGAGTTTGTGTCAGTTCAGAACTGGTGTCCAATAATCCTTGAAACTCTGATTATTTCCTTTTCTCCAATGTATAACCACTGTGGTAAAAAGGTGGTAGGCCCCTTTGGGGAATGCTGGGGGAAAGGTTAACAGTACAATTTTTTTGTGTGGTGTATCTAGGTCCTTTCTCAAGGAGACTCATCCTCCTCTTCATTCAAGGTGTTCTGTGTATAAAAATGGCTCAAGCCTGGGAATTGAAGGACCAGGATAGTCTATTTTGAAGATTCAAGTTAGAGTTTTGTACACTTGACCTAGAACTATTCAATGCATATAGATCAAGTCAAAGTGACTAGACTGGACCTATTTCTCCTCTAGATACACCATGATCAACTAGCTAAAACCACAGGTCTCTGTAGATTAGACAATTCTAATTAGTGCTTTGACTCCACTATACAATATTATAACTGTGCCCACTTTGTCTCTGAGGATTAAGTGCCATTGTCCCTGTCATCTCTTGGATCTAATTGACCCCATTGCATATAAGAATCCCAGTCCAGTGACAGCAGTTCCCATTGTAATTTCTAACCTACAGAGAAGAGAAACTATAGAGCATCTTCAAAGATTGTAAGGCCCCCTCATGAACTTATCACTCACAGTTGTGGTGAAGGATTTATCTTCTGCAACAGTGGGTGGGAAGGGAGCAAGTCATCATGATCAATCCACTCTAACATTCCAATCTCACTAAGCCTGTGGATACCCTCTACGCACACCAAGGCAGTTCAACTGCATTTAGTGTGGACCACTTCTGGCCCATGTTTCATCTAAACAGCTGTTAGAGTCCTTTGTAAGTCCTGGAAATACAGCCGTGACTTGTACATAACAATAAGTACAACCTGATCCAACTTTGTCTTCCTTCCACCATTATCACACACCCTTAATGTCCTTTTCCATACAATTCCCCCAGATTTCTGTCTGTATAAATTGGGAACAGTCTGCAGTGATTTGGAGTACAGCATACTTTCTCATAGATCCCACTTTGTAACTCACTATTTAGGGCCTGACAGTCTGTAAGTTTACTGATAAAGCTCAAAGCAAAGAGGGCTAGTGGGTGTATGTCCCAAGTAAAGTCAATAGTGCCTATTTCTCTTAACATATTTTATGGCTACCTCATTTTGATCCCGGAAAACAAGAGACCTAGTGACCCTGAAATAAGGTTTCTTCATGATGTCTCCATCTAGCATGATCTCCAAACTCCCAGTACACAGAACTTCAGAGCTGGCATGCCTTGCCTTTCACCCAGCACATGGGAGAAATGCCCCACATCACATCTGCAGATTCCAGCCCATTGCCCCTTCTTCTGAGAAGCCTTCTTTAACTTTACACAGGCAGAATTAGTAGTTTCCTTTTCCAGGTTCCTATTTCTCCTCTAGATACACTATAATCAACTAGCTAAAACCACAGGTCTCTGTAGATTAGACGATTCTGATTAGTGCTTTGACTCCACTATATAATATTATAACTGTGCCTACCTTGTCTGTCCCAGACAACTTTGTACAAGCCCATGTTACATGTAGAGGGTTAGATCACTGAAAGCTGTTCACACGTTAGCCTCTCCATTTCGCCATGGGCTTCCCACGGATATTAACTTAATACTCATTCAAACCATGATGATTGATTTAGGTAAGCGAATTCATTGTCAAAAGATTTCTTCATTTTTGCCTCATTATTTTATTTATTCCAATATTCTGTTATATTTCAGATGTGTGCTCGGCAATGGTGAACAAAACCTAGGAAGTTGTCTTTCTTCATGGAGCTGATACCTAATTGAGGGGCCAGTAGATATTAATCAGATCATTCACAAAGAGTTATGGCAAATAACAGTAACTAATATTTATTGAGAGTTGAGGATATGTCAGACACTAGCTTAGGATGTTTATATGTATGAACTAAGTTTTTAAGTTTCTACAAGCAGAATGGCAAGTCTTAGTTATGGAGATTAGGCTAAAAGAGACAACATCGGCAAAGACACCTCGCAATAGGACTGGGTTTATAAGACATGTTTAATTATCAGCCAAATTAAAATTACTCTGGTGTCTGTGTGACTTGATGCAAATGAATAACACCTACTCAGTCAGTTTGCACTGGGGAGGCCAACACAGCAGGTACTCCACAAGGAGCAACAAGGGTGCGGCCCCCTCCAACATTCTTCACTGGCCTTTATTAAAATCTCAGGCAGCATAGTGCAAAGCTTCAAAGAGAGAGTAAAGGTTAAAAAACAAGTAGTTTTCTTTAACTGCAGGATTGAACTCCTAACACATCTGTTTACCACACTTCTGTCTTGCTCTAATCTCATCACTGCTAATATATGACTTAGGGCTGGGACAGTATGCTGTGTCTAGCGAGTATCGTTTTTAGTACTCATGGCCAGCAGTGATTCTTGGATTTTGCCCAGATCACTCGGTGCACTTCTAACCCTATGCTCTATTCTACACTCTGGGATTCATGAGGAGGCTAGAGAGTCCCCTCTGCCCTGTTGATGAGCCCTTATAACACTTGCACAGGCCTCATCAGGAATTTTGGACAGATTTTGCATAGGTTCTGGGACAGGTCCTTATGCTTCAGCATGAAAAATTTGGGTAAGTACTTGGCCCTACACAGGGTCAAATATCCAAGCATCCCACCTGGGATTCGGGTCTCTCCAGAACGCTGAACCTCCACCTGCCACATAGTTCTCCCTCCCCAAACATCTTGGGGTTCATCCACTCACATAACTTTGTTCTTGTTGTTCCCCACCCAGAATGCCTGTCTACCCTGTGTGCAATCTTGGACAAGTGGCTTTCCCAGTCACCCAACCCTTGTCAGAGAGAACCTCTGTGTCTCTTTTGTGACCAAGGCCCAGGTCAGCTCTGCCCATTCCCATACCAGGGGCCTGGGAGAGAGAGCTCAAGGTGTGCCTGCTTGTCCTATCAGACTGGGGGCTGGGATCATGCAGTTCCACCTTGCCTACCTACTATACAGTCAAGAAAGAAGAAAGCAGTGAGGACCCTGTAGGACTGAAAGCTATACTCGGTGCCAGAGAAAAGAGGACCTAATGGTTAGACTTTTCTGATGCAGACATTTTACCACCTTCCTCAGTGGTACAGAGTTCTGCCTTGTATGTAAACTAAGTGGTTCTTAACATGTGCCTCCCCAAGGCTACTGACCTACAATGGAGACTGGAAGTCATTAATGGGCAAAGTTTGTTCAACAGACATTTCTTTAGTTTTTGATGGATTTTACCAGAGAAGTGAAACAATCCTGAGACTTCATCCCTCAGCCCAGGTGACCATCCCATGAATAGACAATGTTCTCTGCCATCTCTGTGGACAGGGCTGCACCATCCCATCTCATTGTAGGGGTAGCTGTTGGCTAGACTTAGCTCTTAGTCTTCTCTGGGAGGCAGACATCCTGGTCCGGCCTTGGAGCAGATGTTGGGGGCTGGTGTCAGCACTCTGAGCAATTTAGCAGAATCTGGGTAAACTCCTGGGACCCATGCCCTGATTTTGGTTTTCTGAGTGTGATGAGTCTGGGATTTTTCATCAGGGTCTGCAGCAGAAGCCACCTTGTCCTGGACCTGGCTGAGATGCGTGGACCTAAGAGAGGATTAGAGCAGACAGACTGGAGGGGAATCAGGGAGGGGGCAGCTTGCCTCTGCTGTTCTCCAAGGCCTTGGGAAGAGCTGCCTGGAAGGCATGAGGTGTGGCAGAAGGAGCTGGACTCCTGGGAAGGTGAGGGAGGTTGGAGGGATGTGAGTTTTCCCTAGGACCTGGGTGTCCACCCATAGTGGGAAGAGCAGTGAACACGGTCTGCACCCCGAAGACAGAAGAGCGCCTCGGAGAGCTTGTGGTGAGCAGCAGGGCAGAATACTCAGAACTTAGGCCAGGGCAAGTATCACATAGCCTGGGACTCGGGTTGGAGTCTCAAACAACTGGGAAATAGAGGACTCTGCTAACAGAACCAGAACTCATTCCTGGGCTAGGGAGGAGGCTGGGTAGCAGGACAAGGACCCAAGGCCTGAGCAGGTCACCCAGCCAAGCTGACTAAGAGCTAAGCCTCCTAAGCTCCCCAGTAGAAGGGCATCTGGTCATGGAGTATGGAGAAAGGGTGGCAGGAAAAATGGAACCTGGGGCATCTCAGAGACCCCAGGGAACCTAAGGGTGTATATTTTCTGCCATCTAAACCCAGTGTAGGTTCAGACAGTCTTTACCTGCGGATGGATTTAGGTACTTGATGGCCTGCTGCAGCTTCCTCTCCCTGTGGTCTGTGATCAGGATGTGACAAAAGCTGACAAGCACGGGGTTGGTGTGATAATGGTCCACATAGAGCATGCCGATCCATGCGCTGAACCCTGAAATCCAGAGGCCGGTCAAGCCAGGCAGCTCTGCCTGACCCACCTGGTTTGTACTTTATAATATAACTGCAGAGCCAGTTTGTTCCCCAGTGATCCCTGAGTCTCTGCCAAGCATCTGGAAAGATTCTCAGAAATCATATTCTAATCTGTTCATATTATGGGGAACTCAAAGCTCCCAGGAGCTGGGAGCAGCCCTGACGAATACTGAGAAGGCATCAGTACATTTATTGGATGGTGAGTGAAGGATGATTGTGAGCCAGAGGTAGAAAGAAAACTACTCTCACTTCCTCACAAAGGGCTTTGATTTTGGAGTATTTCAACTGAACAGAATATTTTCTTAACAAAGTTTGCAACTAACAATGCTAATAATTCTGAGATGTGTTCTTTCTCAAAATAGTCAGATCCGTACACTCCTAAATTAATCTGTTTAGATAGACTTCTGCTACCTCTGACAGCCCTCCTGTACGGCCTGTAGGCATTTAATAGCCTTAAACTTCCTTCTGAGCAGTGGGCAGCATACGTTTTATGGCCTCCATCAGAAGATAAGCTCTGAGCATAAGCCAAGGGTGTGAGCGCCAGGCCTGGTAGCTGCCACAGGGTGCGAGACTGGCCTGCCCCTGAAGGTGTGGACGCTCACCCATGTCTGCTGCCTCGTAGCCGCTCTGCATGATGGTCCTGTCAATGCGTGCGATGAGCCACGTGCCCAGGATGCAGCTGATGAACAGCCTGGAGAGGCAGGCGCCCAGGCCCAGCAGCACGTTGTAGAAGAACAGGAAATAGTTGAAGTTGTGGAACGCTCTCCTGCAGACAGAAGCTAGCTGAGACAGCCCCCTTCACTAGGGCCAGGTGCCCAGGCAGGTGGGATCTGGAATCAAATCTTGCAACTTCCAGTTCATAGCTTTGCAACCTCACTCCATAAGGGGAGCCAATGCTCCCAGTCACAGCACTGGTGTAAGGACTGGCGCAGGCCCAGCATGGAGGACACTGAGCACAGTGTAGGCCAGGGGTTTGTGGGGACTCTGTTTCATTGATGCATGGGGTTTGAGGAACCCCACAGGATAAGAAATCTCATGGGGCTGCAGTTGGTTCAGTGGCCATACAGAGGAAGGTAGCTTTCCCACTGTTGCAAAAGGGGCCTGCTCACAGTTGGAGCTGTTCTAAAGTCTTCCAGACGAAACTTCCCGAAGGATCACCTGATCGTGTGGTTTCCTGTTGCCTCTAGGATAAAGCCCACACTGTGCATGCTGAGTTCCAGGGCCCCTCTGAGAAAGGGGCTTTCTGGTCTTGTCACTTTGTGTCACCTCCCCTTAGTGTCTAAGGCCACTGCATGACAGCTATTTGAGATTCTCACTTTTTTCCTGACTCACTCTGTCCTTTTGTGGCTACCAGTCTTCATCCTTGCTGTGCTGGCCTTCAGCCATGCCTTTGCCTCCTTTCTACAGGCAGAAATCCTACTATCCTCTGATCTCAGCCCAAGTGTCCCATACAAGGTGAAACCAATATCCTCACCTCTCCTCCACCACCCTGTCCCTCTTCCTCCATTGTTCAGGTTTCTCTTGTAACCCTTTTGCACCCTCCAGAGTCCTCTGTCCTTATTGTCTACCTGTCTGTCTGTTCCAGTGCACTGAGCATCTCACAGGCAGGTTGTATTGGGATTATCTCTTTACCTCATTGTTGGTCCCTCAATGAGCAGATGGCTTTAAATGAATGAATTAGAAAGGATGTGCCAAGCACTATTGTTCCAAGTTCATTTTTTAACACGTTTCACCCCTACAACACCTCTTTGAGGTATGCACAATTAATTGTAAATGGGAAAACTGAGCTTTATAAGTGTTCAGGAAGCTCCCACAAGGTCACACAGATCAGCGAACAGAGCCAGGACCTGGCCCATACAGTCTGATCCCAGGGCCCACCACTGGCCCACTGTGTCACACCCTTGTAGAAAGTGGAGAGCTGCCCAGGAACCCACCAAGATGAAGGGGAAGGGCTGGAAGACCACCAAAGCCAAAGCCATACAATCCCCTAGTTCCCTCCCTCACCCTCACCTGTTGTTCAGAGCCAAGGGTTTCTGCTTATCAGCTGTGGCCAGCTTGGGCTGGAGAAAGAAGCTGGCAGCGATCCTCTCCTGCACGACCATGAGACCCACGACAATGGATATGGTGAGGCTGAAACATGAGTAGGACTGTCCAGAGGTGGCCTTTCCACTCCTCCAGACCCTTCTCCAATGTTCAGCGACAGAGAGGTGAGAGGTGCTGACACTCAGCCAACAGTGGGAGCACAAGCTTTGGTTTGTGTTCACTGAGCATTCCCACCCCCACTACGCGGGTAAGAAAACTGAGGCTCACAGAAGAGAGGTGACGTTCCTGAAACCACAAGGAAGTAAAATCCTGGAGTAAATCCATTACTCAAGGATTTCCTTGCGGTTATATTTCATCAGAGTGGCAGCTAGGCGAGTGGTTTAACAAGTTGAGCAAAGAAAGGAATGGGTGTTTTAAAAAAAAAAAAAACAACCTGACAAGGCTATGAGAGAGTGGAAAGGACCAGGATGTGCCCCCAATCACAGATCCTGAGTCTCCCCCACTCCTTGGACAAAACTCTCAGTCTCCCTGTGCCTCTGTTCCCTGGTCTGCAGAAGGGAGGGCAGCACAGGCACCATGTGCACGGGCCTGATGGCAAAAGGCACACAGTAACTGCTCAGGAACTCCAGCATTCACTGTCTCCAGGTGTGTAAGCAGAGGCCCAGAAATGGTAAATAACTTACCCTGAGTCACACAGGAGACCCAAAAGCTTACCCGGGTTCCCTGCTTCCTTCCATCATCCCATCTTGCCTCTCGATTTAACTCCCCACACCTCAACTTTCCTGGCTGGAAAATGGACATATGTGTATCCTGCACACACACAGTTGTGAGGACAGCATGGAACGGAGAGAAAGGCAGCCTTTTGTAAACTGTTAAGTTTCCCTTCCCTGCTAGTTGCTATGATGACCCATCCCTGGATCAGAGCCAAGACCATGGGTCCAGGGAGCAGCTGGGAGGACAGCCCAGTGCCCAGGACACAGCAGTGTCAGGACGCCTACCCAGAACTTACATCCCGATGCCCAGACCTTGGAGCAGCTCCAGGCCCTGGTTGTGGGTGACGGGTAGCACCAGGCCGTACATGATCCCCACGCCGCACAAGCTCTGCACCACGTGGATGACGAGGTAGCCTGGGGGCCAAGGGAGCTGCTAGTCACACCTGGGCCCCTCCCTGAATCCCACCCTCTCCCCTCCTCTCTTCAGAGGCCCCGTATGCCTGCCTACACAGTTCCTCCTGCCTGGCATGGCCTCCCTTGCTTTTAGCTTACTCCCTTCTCACCCTGCCGGGAGCAGTTCAATGTCAGCTCCCCAAGAACGTGTCTGAGCCCTGCCCTGGGTGTGGATAGTCAGTTCCTCCTCTGGGTGCTCGAGGGCAAAAGCCAGGGCTGCTTCCAACTCCCCCTTCTCCTCCCTACCCATAGCCAGGGCTCCGCTGGTGACCAGGGACTATAACAGTACTTACCCCATAGAATGTAGGCTATTTGCCAGCCAGAGTACCTTGCAATGGCCACCTGAGATTTAAAAGGGAAAAGGGGTCCCAGAAGCCCTCATTACTTCTGCCACACCTGTCCAGCATCCTTGTGTGAGGTGCACCCACCAACCCAGTGAGGCGGGTATTGTGATCGTCCTCATTTACAGATGGGGAGACTGAGGGCCCAATAAGGACAGGGGTGTGTTCTCAGTCACCCAGCAGCAGCGCAGGACTGGACTTGAGGACTCTGGCTTCCCCATTCAGGGCTCTTCCTCCCCCAGGGTGGCCCCTAGGCCTGGTGCCACAGAGCAGGTTTTGCACGTGGCTTAGCCCCAGTAGAGAGAGGACTGTGCAGACTTACCACACTGTGCGAGGAGGCAGGATTATGGAACTTCAAAGGGAGAAAGTGCTTATCTCCTGCCCACAGCCTCTTTATGTGCTTTCTGGAGGAGAAGTAGGAAATCAAGCGGTGTTCATACCTACAGCTCTTTGAGCGTAGTCAGAGCTCAATAGACATCATGGAAAACAGCCTGAAGGGCTGTAGCCTGGCCTCCTATTATCACCTGCACCTGCAGGGTACTTTCAAGCTGCCTCAAAACTCTTGAATTTTAGTACATTTGTAAAAATAATGTATATTTGCCAATTCATGATGGTGCCCGAATTGGATAGATGACATTATGTGTGGCCTTAATTGTCTTTATTTTGCTTTCTGTATGTTCTTAGTTTTTCTATGATAAATATATATTACTTAATGTAATAAGATTTAAAACCAATTGAAAAAAGAAAATCCAATTTTTTGATAGCCTAACCTTCTAACAACATAAGGGGAAAGCAAAAAGGGGCAACAATCCCTTACAGTCCCACCCCTCACCAAGTTCTATCTTCCTTCTCTAATGTTGTAGGTTAGTCCTTGACCCTGTACGTCAAGGTTAGGGGGATAGCACTAGTTCATAGTCCACATTCACGTTTAGGGCCTGCCTTCTTAACACGCTATCGCTAGCATTTTTTTCAAGCCGTTTTGTACTTTTTATGAGCACTAAATTAGAAAGACTCAGAATGAAACAAAGAATGCCAATACCTCACTAATGATTTGTATATCTATTACATGTTGAAATAATGAAAATATATTGGATATCTTCTGTTAAATAAAGTATATTATTAAGATTAATATAGCCTGTCCCTTTACTTCCTTAAAAGAGGCTACTAGAAATTTCAAAATTGCACGTATGACTTTCATTATGTTTCTGTCTGGCAGCATTGACGTTGAGTGTAGTTCCACCAATACACACAACACAACGCACACACAATGCACACCTATTTGCATTGTGTATAGAAAATTTCTGGAAGGAAACAGAAAACAATTAATGGTGGTTAAGCACAGAGCCAAAAATTAGGAATCCAAGTGTGAGGAAGACTTCCTTTACACCAAATATTCTTGGTAATATTTTCTTAAAATTGCCTTTATGTAGTCTGGAATACTGCTAAGAGAAAGTGACATGCGGGCACTGTGCTAGTGCTCTGCGATTTGTAAGGAGCTTTCTCATCCACAGTTTCCTCTGCCACACTGTCCTGAGAAAGAGGCAGGGCAGGGTCACCACTCCTGGGTGACAGGTGGGGGCAGGGGCGGCCTGGACAGGAACCAGGCTTCCTCTCCCCAGTGCCTTCTCCTGGTGGTGCCCTCAGCTCCTCTCCTCCACATCCATGCAACCCCCGCTGCATTGAGAGTGTCCTAGGTCGGGCTCAAATGTCTTAGTAGTATTTTCCAGCTACATGTGGACTAATGAGGGAAGGCACAGACATGTGCCCCCATCAGGCAGGGCAGGCTAAATAGCTATGTCCAGACTACCTCCAGGGTCCAGGGAGAAGAAAGTGGACAGAGGGAGTCAGACAGGGCTGGTGGAGAGCTGGGACCCTTCATGCTAAGAGAGACTTCTTGTGGGTGCCATCTGCAGGGGACCTGCCACCTTTAGTCAGGCAGATAGGGAGGCTGTGAAGGTGGCTGTACTCCAGAGAGCTGGAAATTGGCCCTGGGCTGAGAGAGATAGTTTTAGAGGAAGAAAGAGAGAGACACGGGAGCAGTGGATACCTAACATCCAACTGATGCCTGCATGCAAATGCTACTACATATGTAAGGCCAACCCCTCCTCCTGCACTGCTGTCCTTGAGACTGATGCTCCTGGTCCCTTTGATTCAATCTTATTTGATGTCCTCTTGGGCCAGATTCACCTGCTGAGGGCCCAGTGTGATTAGTTCTGGAGAGCACAGCAGATCTGACATCCAATAGAGGTGTCTGAGTGTGTGAGAAATAACAAGGTCTCTGAGGTCAGAAAGACGTGATCATCTGCTAATTGCCTGGGCAAGTGATTTAATGTTGTTGAGTCTCAGCTTTCCCAACTGTAAAAATGGAGATGAAAGAACTTATCGCTCAGGGTTATGGTGAAATTCAAATGAAGATTGTAAGCATAATGTTAGTTCAAATCAATAGCTTCCCTCCCCGCCCCCTCACCTCCTACCAAAAGACGCGGATATCCCTGGACATTGTATTCACTTCCTGGGCCCACGAGGAACGCTGAGAAAAGCCTGGCAGACACATTCCTAGCCAAAGGTACACAAAAGACTCCCCAAGTGTTCTTACCTGTAACAGGCCAGAATGTGGAACAGGTAACTCACACACGTGAGGGAGGCAGGCAAAATGGTCAGCACCCAGACTCCTGACAAAACAGAATTTTTCAAAATGCAGAACCCTGTGTTAGAAAGGTCTAGGCAAAATCTATCATTCTTGTTTTGTCGCCATTTCTTGTGTCAGTAAACTTCTGCTCATTTTTCTATGTCATTTTAGCCATGCACACATTGGATATAATTTATTTTCTGCACAATTCTCCCCTTTGGTGCTAATTTTTCACTTTATGGTAAATAAAGGGACATAGCCCCTGTCCATTGAAAACAGCATTTATATGTTACCTCTGCCTCGTGGGGCAGCACTGATTCCACCTCAACCAGGTAGAAGGACGCCTGGGACCAAGATGTCTTGGCTATTCACTCATTTACCTTTCCATAAGGCTTTGATATTGAGACTCTAATTGGCTTTTAGAAAGATGTTGTATGTTTTTGAGAGGGGGAGGTAGGAGGAAGGAAGATGACTTCTTCCTTTAAAAGCTTCTATGGAAGCTGATTTTCAATAGGTACAGAAAAAGCTTTTGATAAAAATCCATCTCTTTAGGATTAAAAACTCAATAACTGGTAGCCTATTGCATAATATAATACTATATTTAACAAGTAGTATATATTTCAAAATAGCTAGAAGAGATAATTGTTTGTTTGTTTCTTCTTTTTCTTGATTTTTGAGACAAGGCCTCATTCTGTTGCCCAGGCTGGAGTGCAGATCACTGCAGCTTCAAACTCCTTGGCTTAAGTAATCCTCATGCCTCAGCCTCCCAAGTAGCTAGGACTATGGAATATGCTACTGTGCCCAGCTACTTTTATTATTTTTTGTAGAGAAGGTGGGGGTCTCACTAAATTGCTCCAGCTGATCTCAAACTCCTGGCCCCAAGCAATCCTCCTGCCTCAGCCTCTCAGAGTGCTGGGATTATAGGTGTGAGTCACTGCACCTGTCCAGAAGAGAGGAGTTTGAATGGTCTCATCTCAAAGAAATGATACATGTTTGAGGTGATGGATTTGATCATTATGCAAGCTGCTCACTCAACACAGGCATTGGGAACAGAGTTGGTAGACAGGGTTACCTTTGGTGACGCTGATCAGCTCCTTCACCTTCAGGATGACTGGGGTCAGGGTCCCTGTATGGTTCACAGAGGCGACGTAGCTGTCCAGCTTGCCTTCAAACACGGCCAACTCATCTCTCACATACACAAACATGCAGAACTCAATGACAATGAACTAGGGACACAGAGCAAAGGTTTCAAGGTCTCACCTGAGTCCAGCTCAGGGTAGGAATAGCACATGGATATTGGTATTGAAATCAATGTCTTCCTGGCATTCAAAACTTGGCTGGAAATGACCCTGCAAACCAGCTATTCCAAGATGTGAGTTCTTGGGAGACAGAAGTCACCTCACACTCTGTTCCTCACCCTACAGCAAAAAAGATGGGGCCTCACCAGGGCTTAAGGAATCTTCAAACATTCATGGAATCAGAGTGAAAGAACAACACTAGTTTGGAATAAGGGTTGACCTTGGGGGCAATTCTGGCCCCATCTGGGTGGGCCCCAAGTTGGAGAAGGCACAGTTTCCTGCACTGTTTCCTGTGCACACAGCATACTTGTCCCCCATCCTGTCCTCCTATAATGCCAGTGCTTCCTTCTGCCACTTACTTCACCGATCTATGGTGTTAAGGTCTGAAAGTGGAGCTTAAACATTATCATCTTCAGGCAGCTGCTCAATCTAGAATGATCCACTCAATTTCCAGAGCACTTTGACTTTATCCTTTGTCTTTTTTGGGATGGCAGGTACCTCACACCATGGATTATCTCCCTCTCTTAGACCACGAGCTTCTCCCAGCCAGGACTATGCTGAGTCAGCTCTCTGTCTTCTTCCCATCTTGGCACAGTGCTTGGCCAGAGCACCAGAGTGGGCACTTGATAAAATATAAATATTTTATGAAACATCATAACTCCAAGTGAGTTATTTATTTTGCAGAGAACTCTAGTTTCCCCTTCAAATCTATTCCTCCTTCTTTGGGCATAAAACTGGACTAAATTTCCCAGCCTCCCTTGTATTAGATGTGACCATGTGACCAGGCTGTCACCAATGAAAGAGAAGAGGAAGGAATGGGTGACACTTTCACACTCAGTCCATGAAAATTGCCCACAGCATCTCTCCATGCTCCTGTTGACTGCATACAGATGGTGATGGGGTTCTCAGGAGTGGCAAAGGCACATGGTGGAAGGCTCCTGGGTCCCTGAATGACCACATGGAAGGTGTTGCCTTCCATACCTGAACAGTCAGCACTGTTGTGTGGGTAAAGATACAGTGTTAAACCACTGAAATTCAAGGGGTTACTTGGAACTCCAGCATAACCTAACTTAAACACTCACTTAAAAACTTAATCACAGGATTAACTTAAATAGGTGTGGTCTTAGTATATTTAAAATGAAAAGAGAAGTCAGCCTTGGCATTTTCCCCCCTCCACTTTGATCTGGCTTTTGACTGAGCCATTTTACCTCAGATAACTTTGACCACAAAAAATGTTTTGATTCTATGCTAAAAGAAACATCGAAGTTGGAATTATGCCAATTTTATACATAAAATTTTCTGTTGAGAAAACAAACTTAAATAACACTTTAAAATTTTTAATCTATTTCTTAAAATATAGTACAATAAACCAATTCTAGTTTGTGTGCTTTTATTTTGAATTTTCTGAAATTATTTTTGTCATGATCAATTATTTTATATTTAAATGATTTAATTTTTGTTCACAGCATAATTAACCAACCATAGGTTTTGCTACTGTAAATTTTCCTTAGGGATCATTATTTCTACCAAGTCAACTTTCCTGGGTCAAATTTAACATATCAGACCACCCTGGTGGCTCACACCTGTTATCCTAGCACTCTGGGAGGCCAAAGGCAGGTGGATTGCTTGAACTCACAAGTTAGAGACCAGCGTAAGCAAGAGCAAGACCTCATGTCTACTAAGAACTAAAACTAGTTGGGCATCATGGTGGGTGCCTGTAGTCCCAGCTCCTTGGGATGCTGAGACAGGAGGATGTCTTGGGTTTAAGAGTTTGAGGTTACTGTGAACTGTGATGATGTCACAGCACTCTACCCAGAGCAACAGAGTGAGACTCTATCTCAAAAATACATACATACATACATGCATATATATATAAATTTTGCATAACAAAACATTTTCAATATGTTTTTCTTCCATCAGTTTTTAGTCAATGATACATTTTATCATGGGGAGATTTAACCACTACTAGTTTGGTTAGGTGTGGATTATTTTTACTAGCAATATTCACCATGTGAGTAAAAGTGTCCTGGGAATGAAAATGGAGTTGAAATATTGTTCTTGATCTGCCAAGATTCAATTTTGACCCAGCTTTTTAGAACATGCCATGTGCCTCTGTGATTCCATAACTCTAGTCTCCACCCTGCCTCATTTACAAATTATAAAAAAGATTTTGTTAGGTCTACTTACAAGGTACAGGCAGATGAAGGCCAATACAATAGTTCCGATCATTCTGCTAGGGAATCGAAAGCAGGGGTCCCACTCATATATCCTAGCTTGGAACCACGTTGTTTTTCCATCTCTGTGAATAAATAGACACCAAGAAATGAGAGGCTGTGGTACATAGACAAATTCTTCTGAAAATAACCACATCCTCCCCTCTTTCTCTTGGAGCTTAGTGTAGGGAGACAGTACTGGCAGTCTCCACTACCAGTCTTCATTCTCCCTTTATTCTTAAGCACAGAGACTCAGTTTTATTCAGAGCAGCAATTCAGCAAACTGAAAGCCTAAAGTTCCTAACGTCTCGTGCACCTAGGAGTGACCAGACTAACTTCAGGCCAATGGGCTGTGACCAAGGGTGGTATGGGCCATCATGGAAGCTGCCCAGATTGAGCTGACACAGCTGGGGGGCCCTGTGGCCCTGCCTTCTTTTCTCCTGCCTGCTGTTTGAAATGCAGACGTGGTGGCTGCTCCAGGCTGGTGTTCCAGCAGCCACATTGGACCACGAGGCAGCACAGAGGATGCAAAGCACACACTAGAAGCTTAGGGGGCAGGCAGGCGGGGTAGACTGTCCAGAGGCAGGGTAGACTGCTCACCTCCAGAGTTCTGTAGAAAGTAATAAGTCTGTCTCCTGTTTGTGCCACTACTATTTTTGGCTCTCTGTTGTCTGTAGCCAAATCTAATTCTACCCAAAGTACTAGCTTTGACACTGTGTTACTTCAGACAAGACATGTCCCTTCTCTGGGATATATCCCCATATACATGGTAGCAGAAGCAGGTGAGGAGGTGGCTCCTATCATTCTGGCACCTGGTACTTTTGCCTGGCAACATCTGTATCCTCTTGTTTGGTGATAGCACCTCAGTTTTAAGTTGGATAACTATCCTTCCCGACCCTGGGCCATAGTCATTTCCCAGGTCTAGGCTAAAGAGAGGGAATACCGACCCAACTTAACCAATCAGTGTACTCCAATCACCGAACCACTGCAACTGGTTCTGGGTGACACGTGATCCAACTGGATCCAGTGAAACACATTGGTGGGACTTTTGCTTCAATAACTGGAAAGGAAAATTTCTTTCTTTTGAGCTCAAACCAGGAGCATATAAGAGTAGAGAGTGTGGGATCCACCATGTGGAGGAAGCCCACCTAACTGTGAGGCCCACACAGTAAAAGCTGAGCAGAGGGGAGAAGAGGGAGAGAGACCGGTTCAGATGACATTGATGAGCCAAACTGACTGCTCTGGACTTCTTAGTGACATGCACCCCCATGTTTCCCGCTTGGCTTTAATCAAGTTTGTGCTGGTTCTGTTATTAGCAAACAATGGTCCTGACCACCGCAGTGCCCTTCCAGCCACCCTCTCTGTCCCATCGTCAGAGCTCTTCAGATTTGGTGCAAACCTGCGGGGAATGAACAGAAGGGCGGCTTACTGCGGGCGGGGCGTCCTCAGCAGCCGCTGGACGTGCGCGGCCTGGTGAGCTTCCAGGACAGGCTGCTCCTCCTGTGACAGAGAACACAGGCTTTGGCGGTGGCTTATGAATTCTTGTTAGGGTTCTGGTCTCTTCGAGGGGCTACAGCCACAGAGGGCAGGGACTCAGGCACCAGTCGATCTTCTGGTGTAGCCAATCCTGGGCACCTGTCATTTCCTGGTCTCCTGTCTATCAGGCACATGCTGGCAGAAAATGCCAGCGGTCTGACCTGCCCTGACGCTTCTGCTTTCTGATGACTGGACCAGTGACTGGACCGGTCACCGTTTTGTGAAACTTTTTTCCATTCAGATTTGGTATTCCCATCATAGTTCAAGCCATTATTGCAAGAATGAAACACCCCAAATCTTGGCATTTCCTTTTTTCTAAAAAGGAGATTCTTTTGCTTGTTACTTATTTCTTCAGCATTTAAAAAAGAAAATTTATGTTTTGAAATGTTACCTCCACATGCAATGAGCTTTCCACAATAGTCATCTATTTTGCTATCTCTATATGTGATATATGACGTGTAACTTTTACATGTCCAGGATGTCGGGCAGCATCCGCAAGACCCAGTTGGAACAGACTTGCTACTTACTGTTGTGTGCCTTGGGCAAGTCACATCTCTACCCCTCAGGCACCTTGTAAGTAAATGGAGAAAATAATCATACCTTCCAGAGGGTTATTGTGCGGACTAAATAAGATAATGTCTATTAAGCACTGGCATAGCGCCTGCACAGCCCAGCACTCAGTAATGGCTGTCACGGCATAATGCAGGGAAATTTTCTTTTCTTCAATCTCTCATAAAGGCTTCAGAAATGGCCTGTTTTCCTCCAAGAAGAAAATTGTGTCTACTTAGATAAACTTTTGTATTTTGTAAGAAATATCTTACCAGCTTTCTTCAGTAGGCGAAATACAGGAACACTTAATTTCTATATCCAAATCTGAAACGTTTTGAAGGTATGTATGTAATAACTGGACACTTTAGTGTCATTATCATGGGTTTTTGTTTTTAAGCAGCTGCATGGGACATCATCCCCAGATTCTGAGCCTTGCAGCTATTTGTAAATATTCTAGTTCCCCCTCCTCAAGATACATAATAGGACTGTACCCTCTCACCCCCTTGAAGGTGTGTGGCTAAATAATGGCTTTGTCCAGTAGAATCTCAGTGGAGGTGGCATCATGGTGGAGGCCTTAAAAGCTGGTGTTTGCCTCACCATGTTCTCTTTCCCTGTTCTGTGCCAATCACTCGTGTTCCCAGTGGAGGCTGCTCTGTCACCCCGGGTCACAGAGTGAAGAGGACCCAGTGGAGGCTACTCCATCATCCCGGGTCACAGAGTTAGGAGGACATGGCCCCTGGCACTCTCCACATGTCACAGTAGTTAGAAATAAAACTTAATTGTGGTAAGCCACTGAGGTTTGGGGGTTGTTCATTACTACAGCATAACCTGGTTTGTCCTGACTGTCACATATGCATTTTGAGAAGATAATCAAAAGACAGGAAAAACTCAAGGTCAGTGAAATGAGCTAATCACAACTCCTTCAAGCTTAGGTGATGCAGAGAACAAAGTTGTGGCAAGTGAGGCCGAGAGGCATCAATCCTGAGGTGTGAGTGAGAGAAAAAGACCTATCCTGACCCCAGGTGACCTCAAAGCTGGAGCCATTTGCCCCTGGCCAGAGAAGCTGTGTTGACAGTGGTTAAGAGGGAGACTCCACAACCCAGCTGTCTGGGTTCAGCTCTGGCTCTGCTGCCGATTAGCTGGGTGACCTCAGGCAGCTCAATTCACCTCTCTGGGTCTGAGTCTCCAAAACTGAATGTAATGCGTAGTAATAGTACATGCCTAATGAGCTGTTGAGAGGATTAACCCTGTCAGTACGTGCAGTACTTGTACTCAGTACTCACCGCCCCGCGCTCCCAGCCCAAGTGCACCCTCAGCGCCTTGGCAAACATGTGCAGGAAGCGGCCCAGCAGGAAGGCCAGGCATAGCAGCGAGGGCCAGTAGAACATGACAGACTCGTAGCTCCCCAGAAACTGCAACAGAAGCAAACCATGGGAGCTCCAGGCAGGCACAGCCAGGCTCCCAGAAAAGCTACACAAAGAATCCCCAAGGCTGGCCCTCTTGGGCTTGGGAGCCAATGGCCCCTCACAGCACCCCCAGCCCCACACCAAAGGATCAGCTGTGGACCTGGAGCCCAGCAGCCCTGGGCTCAAGTCTTGTCACCTCCATTTTATTTTATAAAAATAGCTTTCACTTTTTTTTTTTTCTCTCTGATTAGGAAGCTAAATGCTCTTGTTAGAAAATACGAGACAGAGAGATAGAGGTGGGTTGGTAGGTAGATGGGAGGAGGAGGGAGGGAGAGGGAGAGAGAAAGAGAGAGACAGAGAGAGTAAGAGAGAAACAGGAAAGAAGGGAGGGAAGGAGGGAGGAGAAATAGCCCAAAATTGCCATAGGCTGGGAGCAACACAAGAAACAGTCTCTCAAAATAGTGCTCATAGATTTTCTGTGTTTTTAGTTTAGTGGGTTTTTTCTTTGTTCGTTTGGAACAGAGTCTCACTTTGTCACCCTGGGCAGCGTGCCATGGCGTCACAGCTTACGGCAAGTCAAACTCCTGGGGTCAAGCAATCCTCTTGCCTCAGCCTCCCGAGTAGCTGGGACTACAGGTGCCCACCACAACACCCAGCTATTTTTAGAGGTGGGGTCTCACACTGGCTCAGGCTGGTCTAGAACTTGTGAGAGTAATCAATCCACCCACCCCGGTTAAGTTTCATTTTGATGAAAAATTCTTTTTCTTTGTTTCAAGACAAATAATATGTGACTTATCTTTCATAATTTACTGGTTAATTTATGTTTCAGCACATTTCCCAAGTCATATTTCCCGTCTGGGGACAGCCTGCGATGGAGGGCCCGTCTCTTCCCTAAGCCTCCCCTCTGCTATATGCTTACGGCTTAGACATACCCACTGTTACCGCTTCAGTCTTCCATCACAGAGCTACGGGCATCAAATTGCAGTTGGACCAAATATGGAGGTCTGCATCTGTTACAATCATTTTCTCACATGTTTGTAAACAATTGCAAACATCAGTTTCAACGTTGCATCCCAGGGCATTATTTGGATGAACCAAACTTTATTTAAACTTTCCCCTAACATTGCACATCTTAAATTCTTTCAACATCTCATTTCTCTAAATAATGTTTCAATGAATACTTTTTAAAACATGAGACCGAGTCCTATTTCCTTAATTCAGACTGGATTGCCCTGCCATGATTTTTTAGCTGGTAAGTCACATTATCCCCTGAGGCTTGGCTTTCTTCTCAGTGAAACGGGGCTAGCACCACACACTGCCTTCAGGAATTGTCTGGAGGACTCAATGGTTAGTGACTGGAGTGGTATCCAGTGCTACCCCTGGGGCAGAGCGGATGTCAATGTGAGTGATTTAAAACAGAAGCCAGATCCTGCCCTCTCCTCCACTTAACTATGAATACCTTGAATTTCAGAAGAACCTCTAGAAGACTGAGAGATCTCCAAGGTACCAAAGAGACTGCTGTGGTCTGGCATCTTGGACACTTGATCAGTGGTAAAGGGACATCTTTGGGGAGGAGGCCAGAATACCCTCAATCCCAGTGCAGCGAGGTGGAGGGAAGGCCCAGCTTCTGAGCCTCATACCCCAGCCTCACCCTGTCAGACTCTCCCTATCACCCCTGTCATCCCCACAGTGATTAAGCCTGGGAAAGGTTTGGGGAGGCTCTGGTGGGCTCTCAGTCCAGGTGGACACCTGGGCATCCCCCAACCCCTGTGGTAACACTTCTATGTGACCTCCTGATGTCGCTCTCTCTTCTTGGTTTTTTTCCTGGGGTCCAGGGTTAAAGAGATGAACCAGTTTCTGCCAACTCTGAGAAGGATGATGATGACAAAGTTGGAAAGGGTAAATCTAGGCCAAGTCTACTGTTTTCTAGAAAGAGAAACTGGGGCTATGTAGAGTGGGAAAAGATGAACTTTAAAGTCACCAGGCCTGGCCTTAATATTCTTGACTCTGCTGCTTCCTACAAATTACTCCTTCTACTTGGGTCTCACTTTCCTTGACTGTAAAATAGGAGCTCTGATGAGCTCCCCACCAGCGGGCTGCTATGAGTTTCAAATGAGACGTCTGTCTGTGGCTGAGCACTGGATGAACACAGAGTCCTACACAAACGGAAGCAGCGTGGGTGACTTCTACTTCCCTTCTGCACACACAAGGAAGCAGAGGCTGGAGAGGGACAGAGTGAGCGAGCTGGCCCTGGTGATAGTACTGAATATCCTAAGTGCCGGTCATAAGGACTTACCGGCCCATGGGGACACTGTGAGACTTGAAGAATAGTGACAGCAAACCTGCAGGAACAGAATCAGGGTTTAGGGCCCTGGGGTCCCTCGCTGCACAGCCCCAGGACCAGTCTGTGTGTAACAGCACAGGTCCTACCATCCCAGAGATACGTGTCCCCCTGAGAGGGCTGGTTCCTGAGGCTCCATGCACATCCCTCCTCCGTCATTTCTCTGCTTATGCCAAAGTGGGTATACACTAAATTTATTTAACATGCCTCACGTGGGTGCCATCTCAGAATCTATGAGGGCACAAGAGGAAGGCCGTCCGGGAGCTCATCCTCCCTCCCCTCGTCATTCACATGGGGAATGGAAGCCCAGAGTTGGCAAAGGATTTATCCAGAGTCACACACACGGGCACTGGCAGAGCCAAGACCACAATCCAGGTCTCGTGACTCCATGGCCACAGCCTTTTCTTGCCTCTGCATGACCTTGTCTGTCAACCCTAGTCTGAAGTCAGGGAACTCCCTGCTTTACCCTCTGACACGCTGTCTCGGCCCTATTTGCTCTTGAGTCATGGTGCCCAAGCTGCTGAGCGATTCCCATCATCTGCTCTCTCCTGCTCAAAGCCTGTCAGAGGCTGATAAGGTGATGTGCTGCACATCTAACCCAATATGCCCTCAGTTCAAGTTTCTAAAAAGCAAGTCACCTAAAAACTTTAGATTCGTAGCCACTGATGTGTCAGTTGCTTGTGGGATCCTTGTCTGTTACCCTGCCAAGCTGGGCCTGAGGACCCCAGCTGGCCCCATGGAAACTGCCGGATGGGGAAGCAGCCCAGCAAGGGAGCTGAAGGCAAGGAAATGAGCCTCAGTGACTGGAGAAAAGAACCACTCCCAGGTTATCCAGGCAACAACGTTCCCTGGTGCCAGGTCTGTATCAGATCTGGTGCCCGGCTCTGAGGGCATGGAGCTCGATGTGACTGTCAAGAAGCTCTCCATTTGGAGGGAGGGATGGTGATCCCCCAGCCTGGGGGTGGGGGATCCACATAGGAAATAGAAACACACAAAGAGACCAGGATGCATGGCCTGTGAGGGTCTTCCCGGCTCCTAGTGGACATAATAGAATGGACGCTTGAAGGAATGCAGGAGTCTTGTACAGCTAGAAATGCATCCGAGGGACTGCTGGGGCATGGAGAGCAATAGAGAGGCCAGACTTACTCTGTGATGGCCCCAAAGGCCAAGCCAAGGTAGGTGAACTTGCTCTGAGGCTCTTGACAAAAGCCATCACAGTGCTGAGAAGGAGCAGCTAACAGGGCTCCTGCTTCCTCCCAGAGAGGGCCTCAAGAGTTTACAGAAATGAATTGTGCAAATATTCTAATCACTAGAAGCCCTTATATGAAGCAGACAGAATGCTGACCTGAGTCATCAAACGCAGTCCCAAGAAGGGGTTGCAACAAGACCTTGGACAAGTCACCCTGCCTTCCCAGGGCCTTGGTTCTGCAACCAGACATTGGACAAGTCATCCTGCCCTCCTGGGGCCTTGATTCTAGGCAGGGTGTCCTCTGCGGGGAGCTACCAGGTTGCTTGCAGCCCTTTGTCTAGAGTTCAGCCATGAAGGGCAGGCAGGCAGAGTCCATCTTACCAGATCAGAGAGTAGCAGAAGCCAAGGGTGGAGCTGACCAGTCGGAACTCTGATGAGAGGCAGGCAAAGAAGGGGAAGTAGGCCAGGCCGACTTCGAAGCCACCGATTAGAAGCACAAAGGCTGGGGAGACAGGACCAGAGATGCTGTGAGTCCCCTTACCACGGGTGCAGGAGGATCTCGGGGAGGACACAGCACTGCACGCTGGCCTCCAGTCAGAGACCTCGGGGCCCTGCGAGGTAAACAGAGAAACCCAGTCTTGGACAGGGAAAAGTGCATGAATGTCTTTTATTCATTTACATAACGTATGTTTTCTATTCCCTATTCTTGGCAGGATATGAGCATACTGTTGAGATGAAGAAGACTTAGTCCTTACACTTGACCAGCTTGCAGCATGATGGGTGTAGATGGGCCACAAATGAATAAACAAATGAGCAAACAAAATGACTGAGAGTGAAGTATTCTAAGTACACTGTGACAACACAGGCAGAGGTGCCGTGTTATGTGCAAAAACCTCTTTAAACTACAGTGCACTGTATATATAAGGCAATAAATATGCTAATTCTGCCACTGACTAGCTCTGAGATGGTCTGGCAGGATCCAGAAAAATCTAATCATTTGCTAAATCTAATCATTCAGTAAAATCTAACCTTTATTAAAGCCATCCTGCTGGGTCCTGGGCCAGGCACGTAGGACAGGAGGAATGGATAAGGGTTTTGCCTTGAGATGTTGACAATTCAACAGGGATGACAGGTGGGAAAGTCAGAGGTATGAAATGTACTGAAACTGACCTGCTGTGAGGACACACAAGAGGAAGCCACTGAGCTCACCTGGGGGCTGGCTGTGAGGGAAGGCTTCCTGGGGATGCTGACAGGTACAGGCAGGAGTGCAGAGGTGGAGAGAAGTAGGCACAGAAGGACGGCCTCACACAGAAGCTGGGCAATGATTAGTTGTGGGCCAGTCAGTATATGTGTGCAGGTGAGTGGTAAAGGGCTGGCGGAAAAGGGCAATACAAAAAAAAAAAAAAAAATTGCTACAAGAACAGCGGCTACAGCAGCAGATTTTTTAATCTCCCTGAAACACACACACACATACACACACACACACCCCCAGAGAAGCAGGCAGAGCAACCAGGATGGCAAAACCAAGGACTTGCAGACAATATTTACAAGTCAGGTAACAAGACCCACTTGAGAGCTGAGTGATAGGAAGCAGAGGGGAGGCAAGAACTAAAGGCCTAAGAATTGAAGAACTGAAAACTTCCAGAAGGTATTAAATGGAAATTGAGGCTGAAACAGCAGGTGAAACTGGGTGAGATGTTAAAGACCACAATTCCTAGGTGAGTGTGAGCAGACCTCAGTGGGATCTGAAGATGCTGGAGTTGCCTGGGCCTTGGAACTGACTAAGCTAACAACGAACGGCTGGATGATAGAGATCAAAATCTGTATTGCTCTTTCTTCCCAGATCGCCACCACTCACAGCCACACATACACTGACCAACCACAACCAACCACCCCCTCTCCTGGGAAATAGGGGGTCCAGACAAGAGTGGGAAAGAGAAGATGACTCAGTATGAGGAGATTGATGGAGAAATAATAGTAGGTAATAGATGGTAGTAGATAGATAGAAAAATAGATAGATGATAGATAGATGATGATGGGAGATGGATGTATGATAGATAATAATAATGATGAGAGAGAGAGAGAGAGACAATCACATTGAGAAAACAGAAGAGGGAAATCCAGAGCCATAAAGCAAGAAATAATGTCTGGCCCAGCCTTCCCTCTTATGTTTAAAGAAAACTTATTTCATTTCAAAATGAGCCACAGAAAAATATCACAGTCAAATTCCATTCAAAGTTATTATAAGAAAAAAAGGATAAGGAATCAAAAAATATCACTAGAAATGGCAAAACCCCTCCAGAAAGAGGCCCATCCAAAAGATGAAAACTATAGTCTAACATCTCAATAGAAGCTAAAAACATAAAAGCAATGATAAAATCTGTGAACAAAGAACAAGTCACAATGTGAAAAACCAAAAAAGGTGATTGAAGAAAAGTTTTGATAAGACAGATTAGATGCCTTAGACAAAATTAGAAATATAAGAAAATACTGTTTCAGCAATGAAAACTAAGTCAGTGCCCGTAGTTCAGTGGGTAGGGCACTGGCCACATACACCCAGGCTGGTGGGTTCAAACCCAGCCCGGGCCAGCTAAACAATGACAACTGCAACAAAAAAAATAGCCAGGCATTGTGGTGGGAGCCTATAGTCCCAGCTACTCGGGAGGCTGAGGCAAGAGAATAGCTTAAGCCCAAGAATTGAGTTGGAGGTTGCTGTGAGCTGTGACACTACAGCACTCTACAGAGGGCAACATAGTGAGACTCTGTCTAAAAAAAAAAAAAAGAAAAGAAAAAAGAAATGAAAACTAAGGTAAAATGAATAAAAATCAATATCATGAATACATAAAGAGCTCCTGAAAATACAGAAGTAAAAGAACACACTGGATTTACTGGATTTACATTTTCACCTGAAACAACAAAAAAACAGACAGAATATATGAAACAACTGTTTTCAAGTTGGTGGACAATGATCAGTAAGGAGCAGAAGCAAACAGCTGAGCCCTACAGTTTCCCCACTCCCCCACAGAATGCAATACAGAGAGGGGAAGCCCAGGCAGAGTCCTGCAGCCTGCAGACAAAGACAGTGACAATTTGCAGGAGGGAGGACTGGTAGGACAGAGCCACATGGAGAGAGAATTCTGGGAGACACAAGTCTGCAGAGGGTTCCCCTGGAGTCTTCAGCTGAGTTCTGATCAGCACAGTTGTGTGAGGAAACTACCCAAGGCCAAGGAAAGAACCACCTGAAAAGATGAGAGGTAACCATGCCTGCACTCACACAAGGTCAGGAATACTGTCTGCTCTCCCCAGCCGGACTGAAAAACCTCATGATACCAAAAGCACAAGCAAAATTTGGACTTCATTAGAATGTAAAACTTGTATGTATTGAAGGGCATTATCAAGAAACGGAAAGATAACCTACAGAATAAGAGATATATTTCCAAATTGTATACGTGATAAGAGTTTAACATAAGGAATATATAAAGATATCCTACCACTCAACAACAAAAAGACAAACAACTCAATTTAAAGATGGGCAAGGACTTGACTATTTCTCCAAAGAAGATATACAAATGGCCAACAAGCACATGAAAAGATATTCAGTGCCACTAGTCACTGGGGCAAATCAAGGTAACAATGAGATACCTTTTCTCACCTGCTGTGGATGATTATAATCAAAGCACACACATAGAAAACAAGTGTTTGCTAGAATGTGTTGAAACTGGAACTCTTGCACATTCCTGGTAGAAATGTAAAATGGTGAAGCCACTGTGGAAAACAGTGTGCCTGTCCTCAAAAAAAGAAACGTGGCTTTGACTCAGCAAGTGACCCAGCAATTCCACACCTAGGTGTATAACCGAAAGAATTTAAAGTGGGGGCGCAAACATATTTGTACACCGATGTTCATTGTAGTATTATTGGCAATAGCCAAAAGATGAAACAGCCCATTGCCCATTGGCAGATGAATGGCTTAACAAAATGTGCACGTGCCCATACAGTGGAGTGCCAGCCACAGAAAAGAATGAGGCTCTGACAGAATCCGTGACGTGACTGACCCTTGAAGACATGCCAAGTGAAAGGAAGCCAGGCACAAACGACAAACACTGCGTGATCCCACTTAAAGGAAATATCTGAAATAGGGGAATTCACAGAGGTAGAAAATAGATTAGAGGTTACCAAGAATGAGGGAAGGGGAAGACGAAATTACTGCTTAATAGTGAGAATTTATGACTGGGATAATAGAAATGTTTTGGGAAAAGATATAATGCCATTGACGGCTCTGAATTGTACACTTCAAATGGTTAAAATGGAAAATGTTATGTTATAAATATTTTATCATAAAAAGAAAGTGTTTTAAAAAGTAATAGGGCATCAGTTAACTGTGCTACAACTTCAGTGGCCTAATAAATATGCAGTTGGTGTTCTCCAGGTGAAAGGGGAAGGAAATATATTTAAAGAAATAATGGCTGAAATTTTTCTAAATGTGAGGAAAATTAAAATGCAGAGATCCACTCAACAAACCCCAAGCACAAGAAACATAAAGAAAATTGCTCCAAGACCCATCATAATGTAATTGTTCAAAATCAGTGATTAAAAAAGAATGTTCTTCCTAAGATAAGGAATAAGACAAGGATGGTTGATCTGATCACTTTCATTCAATGCTGGACTGGAAGTTCTATCCTATGCAATTAGGCAAGAAAAAAAACGAGTTGTGGATTGGAAAGGAAGAAATAATAATTCTTAGAAATAATAATCCTTAATTCATAGCTGACATGACTGTCTATGTAGGAAACACTATAGAGTCCTTTTTTTTTAAAACTACCAGAACTAATAGGTGAGTTTATCTGCAAGATACAAGATTATTAAATGTAAGAATCAACTGTATTTCTATACATTAGCAACAAGCAATCAAAAGTAAATTAAATTATGAAATAAATGTAAATGTGACAAAAGATAAAGAGCTAATAACTGAAAACTGTAAAACACTGCTGAAATTAAAGGAATTCTAAATAATGGAGAGATATATTTTGTTTGTGGGTCGGAAATCTCAATATGTTAAGATAACAATTTTCCTCAAAATGATCTATAAATGCCATGTAATCCCAGTCAAAATCCCAGAACTTTTGGTAGAAATTGACAAAATTATTCTAAAATTCATATGGAAATGCAAAAGACCTAGACTAGCAAAAACAACTTTGAGAACAACAGTGGGAGGACTAACACCACCTTATTTCAAGACTCATTTTAAATCTATAATAATCAAGACTGTGTGGTATTGGTACCAAGATAGACAAATAGATCAATGAAGAGAACAGAGAATCCAGAAATAGACCCACATATGTGTACCCAATCGATTTTCAACAAAGGTGAAAGGCACATCAGTGGGCAAAAGACAGGCCTTTGTAGCAAATGGTGCCAGAACACTTTATTTGTCCATCCAAAGGAAAAAAACAACTTCATACTATATGCAAGGAATTAACTCAAAATGTGTCATAGACCTAAAAACAAAAGTCAAGCCTACATAAACTTCTGGAAAAAACGTAGGAGAAAATCTGCATGACCTCAGCTTAGGCAAAGATTTCTTAAATGACACCATGAGTATGAACCAGAAAAGAAAAAAATAAATAAGTTGAGCTGCATCCAAATTTAAAATGTCAGTTCTTCAAAAAAAACAAACTTGTTAGGAGCATGAAAATTCAACTACAAACTGGGAGAAAATATTTGAAATTCATATATGTGTATGAAAATGGATTTATACCCAGAAGATATAAAAAACTCTTAAAACTCAATAAGAAAAAAAAGGCTCAATAAGAAGAAAACAAACAAAAAAAACCCCAATTTTAAAACAATAGGAAAATGATTTGAACATTCATTTCACCAATGAAGGACAATTTGAGGAAAATTAAAATGCAGAGAACAGGAGGCATAGGAATAACAAATAAGCACATGAAAACATGTTCGACATCATTAGTCATTATGAAAATGCAAATTAGCACTTCTATACATTTCTTAAAGTGACAAAAATTTTTAACAATTGGCCATATCAAGTGTTGACAAGGATGTAGGGAAATTAGAACCCCCTTATGATGGTAGTAACAAAAATGGTACAACCACTTTGAAAATCAATTTGACAGTTTCTCAAAAAGTATGATCTACTATACTATCTGTATAATCCAGCCACCCACTCAGAGGTATTTACCCAAGAAAAATGGAAGCATGGGCACATACAAAGGCTTGCACACTTATGGTCATAGCAACTCTTTGTAATGGTGAAAGGTGGAAATGAATTAGATGTCTGTCAACAGGCGAATGGATAAACTGTGGTGTATCTACACAGGGGAATACTAATTAGCAATAAAAAAGGATGAACTACTAATGCATGGATTACATGAATCTCAAGACAAGTATGCTGACTAAAAGAATCCAGACCAAAAAGAAAAGAGTACTTCTGTATGATTCCATGTATACAAAATTCTAGAAAATGCAAAGTAAGCTGATGGGCAGTGAAGGAGAGGAAAGGGAAGAAGAGGTTAGAAAGGACAATAGGAATCTTCTGGGGTTCATTACCTGATTGTGGTCACAGTTTCGTGGATGTAACATTTGGCAAAATGTCCCTTGGGACATTTGTACCTTAGTACATTAGTACCTTGGTCCCGCTATGGGACCTGAAGAGGATTGTAGCCCTCTGAGAACAGGAACACGACCTTGCCAAATCGTATACTACTAAGAGTTGGGTAACAGTATATCATTTTGGCTTTAATTTGTTTTTCCCTAAAGACTAATGAGATCTTGGTGGGCATTGGATCATACAGACTTAGAGCCCATGAGAGGGAACTGGGCTGTTCAGAGAGGTTGGGAGTCATTGTGTTAGGGGTAATTGAACTTGGAAATTAGAGTTGCTCTTTCAGGTAGAGCATGGGGCATGGGGAAAGATGAAGCCTTGGGCCAAAGAAGAAAGCATTGTTCCTTGAGGAGTCCCAGGGCTCATTGATATCATGATTATGACCCAGGAGAGCTTTTGGGGGGTAAGTGAGGAAGAACCTACTTTCTGAGCCTTTGTTACATCACGTCTAAAGGACCTCTCACTCTGGAGGAAAGCCTTATAAACAAGCTTAGAGGCTTTGTGGGCTAGAAATTGATTTTAGGCAAGTAACAGGCTGAGAAGAACATGGCAGTTCACAAAGTGTATCCCCTGATCCCGGAGAGGCTGCCCTGTGGTCTCTGAGAGCAAGAATTTATATAGCTAGTTCCCAGCAGGCATGAGGCGGCTTCTAGTACCTTGGGCCCACTGTGGGACCTGCAGGGGCTGGTAGCCCTCTGAGAACAGGAACATGACCTTATTGGCTGTGGCCCCAAAGGCGATTCCATATGACCATCGGTTACTAAATGTGCCCACGAAGTCCAGAGGCCTGTGAACAACAGAAATAGCTTGTGAGGCCAGAAGATGGCTCAGAGTCATTCCTGCAAGTCATCTCCAGCGTGGCGATCCTGCCCTGAGGAAGGGTTGTGGGATAGTGAATCATTCATTGCAGTTGACATTTCCTGGGGCCCTCTGTGCCAGGCCTGGGACTGGCATGGGTTCAGGGTACTTAAGGAAGGAGGACAAAGCCCTTACGCAAAAGAATTCCAAGCCTAATGGGGGCAGACCCAAGGACACCAGCATCCATGACAAAGCAAAATGGGATAGGTTTTGTTTAGAACAGAGATAGTCAAGATTTGAGACACTGAAACAAGGAATGTGTCCCAGACAGGTTTGGGGGAGCCTGCCCTGTCCCCAGCCAACATCCCTGATGAGGGGCTGGGTGTCACTGCCTCTGCAGGCACCCTGTGATTGAAGAAGAAAGTCTCATAATGTGTCATTCCCAAATTTGCCACTCTGACTACTGACAATTTTGAGTTAAAGGCACTTAGAGAGCAGCAGGTACAAAAGATCCCTCTGACCTTCCTGCTGTTCCTAAAAATAGGAGATGAGATTACCGAGTAGAGAGTCCTCCCTACAGGGAAGGAATACATCCTATCATAAAGGACAGAAAGTCAAGGCCAAGAAAATTCTGTACAGACCTTATTAAAATAACTTTTATCTTCTAGTCTCCACACATAATTTAGTTCCTCCTTTACAACTTAATACTCTTTGTCTAATTCAGTGTGTACATGTTCAACTCTGTGTCTTTGGGCCTTCATTCTTTATGAGGGATCTCATGTAAAACTTACATTTGAATAAATTTGAATGTATTTCTCCTGTTGGTCTTAGCAGCTTTATTTGCGATTTAATTCTCAGATCCAGTTGATAAACCCTGAGAGGGTGGAAGTAAACTTTTGCCCTCCTGCCCCCATATAATCATGCCTTCCCGGCCACAGTTGACTGGGTTACAGGTGACCACCTGTATTCGGACAGGCTGATCAGGTGTCTAGTCTTACATCTTGGATTTGTGACCATTGAGGACACGAGCCAGTTAGCTATCATGGCCTTGGTCTGGAAGGTCATACCAACTTGAGACAAGAGTCAATGCTGGAGGAAAGTCAAGGCTATAGGGAAGTGGAGGTCCTAACTCAGATGGCAGAGAAGAAAATGACAAAATTGTTCTAAGGGGGCTCCCACGACACAGAAGGGCAGAAGGAAAGAGAAAGAATGAGATTCCCATCTTAAGAGATCAGTTCCCATGAGTCCTACTGGCTTCTGTGAGATCTCTGTAACTTTGTAAAAAATCCTGTTAATGTAAACAGGCTTGAGTGGGTATCTATTTCTTCTAACCAAGGGAGCTTTGTCTAGGTTAGAGTAAGCAATTGCATTTGGGGGAAGAGCAAAACTTCTTCCAATAAAGTGGTCTGTCTAAACTGGGTCTTAATAAAATCTCAGGAAGGCAGGGAGAGCCAGCTGTTGCAGGCAGGGGATCCTATGTGGTTCAGTCATCGTCCCCCTTAAGGATTGGCTGAAAGAGCATATCTTCTTAGAAGCCTCCTTGGACACTCACTCACAACTGGGCTTCCTCATCTGTGTTCCTTCTGCCCTAAGTGCATGGCCCTATTTCAACACACCTTCCTTCATGTTACCACTTGCTTAGTAAACTCTAAACTCCTCTGGGCTGGGGACCTAGTACAGGACCTTGAAAAAAGTAGTCACTCAGTGCAGGTGTGTGGACATGCATTTTGTTGAGCTAAATTGAATCCTAATCAAGACACCATCTGTAGCACTTAAGAGTTTCAGCACTACCGCACTGAATGAGTGCAGTGCAAGATTATATGGGGGCTTGCTGCCTGCACTCACAGGCAAAATTTCACTTCCAGTGAGACTCAGTTTCCCTATCTTCAAAACAGAGATAGAAACCCCTGTTGTGATCACATCATAAAGTCATTTTAGACAGTAAATGAGAAACTGCTTGATAAGCTGCAGAGTAGCACACGTGAGGGTTACTACTTCGTGAAGATTGTGGGCCAGAATCACTCAGAGAAGCAGAGGTTTGATGGGAAAGTGGCCACGGAACAAGTCAATTGTGCCATCATGAATTTAATTTAAGGCAACTGAATGTAATTGCTATGAGCCTAGTACTTCTTATAAAGTCCTGTATGAGCCTCTGCATGCCAAATGCCCCAGGAAGAATAAAGGTCTTTATTCATTAGCTTCAGTCTGTTCTGTGCCTCAACCAATGTGTCTTAGACCTGGCAGCTTGGAAAGGGCTGACTTCCCCAAGTGGGTAGTATCCAGAATGAATCTCTCACCTGCAGCTTATGTTACCCCTGCCTCAGTCCTGATATCTGGGTTCCTTCTTCCTTCTCCAGAATCCAAAACCTCAACATGTACATAGCTTGAGCCTGCTCAATAATACTAGGGGCAGGGAGGACAGAGAGAATATCAAACTCATCTGGGTTAAAACTCTTGTCACTTGTTAGCTGTGTGGCCTTGGACAGGTCACTTAACCTCTCTGAGGCTCACTTGTCTTATCCAGTGCATGAGGATAACAACCTCCACCATGCAAAAGTGGCAAAAAGGTTTGTCAAAGTAATGCATGCAAATGGCTCAGTGTCTGGGTCACATACAGTGTGAAATAAATGTTCACTGCATCACGGTGATGATTTGAGGGTGAACAATTAGAACTTGAGCAAAAATATAATAAGGGTGCAGAGACTCAGAATGGCAGCACTAGCAAGGCCCTAGCACTTCCCCTCTGCAGCAGGACTGCCTGTGCATGAATTGTGGTACCACCTAACCAGAAGGCTTGCTGCCTGCACTCACAGGGAGCTCTCTCCCTCCCGACTCTGAGGTAGCCATAGTCCCAAAGGTAGGAAGGCCTTTGCCGTAATGGTCAGAATCTCCTCAAGATGGGTCTTGAGGTGTATCTGGGCCAGTGCTGAGGGCTGGGATAGCTGAGAAGTCTATTCTAAACTCTGAGAGCATTGGTCGGGTTAGGGCACAGAGGGGCAGGGCTGTGCATGGTGGGCATAGGTCCTGGGAGATACTGATCTTACAGTTGGCCTTGACACCAATCACAGGGTTCCCCGAGCCATAGGAGTTGACCCTGACTCAACTCACATGATGATTCCAAAGTGGCTCCCCAGAAGGTAAGAGGTATCATCTCTCTGTCTACGATGCTCTCGTCTTTGGAGGAAGGACAAGACCAAAATGATGAAGAGCTATAAGCAGAAAAGATGAGAGAGTCAGTGGGCACGTTCATCCCTCAAGGCCCTCACTGAAAGCAACTGTGTGGGTGAGCAGAGAGCTCTGAATATCTGTGATGCCTCAAACTCCAGAGTTGGGGGGCTGGCTGCATGTACCGCTGAGCTGCCTGAATGTTCTGTCCTGAGCTTTCCTTTGTGCTGCCCTCAGCAGTCTCCAATGCCTTGAATCTCGCGTCTCTCTCATATTGAGTGGGAGGGAGACTTAACTTCCCTAAGCCCCCGTCTCCTCATCTATAAAAAGGCAGTAGGGGCTCAGCTCCTGCAGCTCAGTAGTTAGGCCTCCAGCCACAGGCACTGGGGCTGGTGGGTTGGAACCTGGCCCAGGCCTTCAAAAAAAAAATAGCCAGGCATCATGGTGGGCACCTGTAGTCCCAGCTACTTGGGAGGCTGAGGCAAGAGAATCGCTTAAGCCCAAGAGTTTGAGTTTGCTGTAAGCTGCAATACCACGGCATTCTACCCAGG